ATATATATATGTATGTATGTGATTTTTATTATTATTGAATTCAACCGCGTGTTTAAAAGTAATAATAATCGGCAATGATGTATATGTATATATATATATATATATATATTGATAAGATTTTTGTTGTATGACATTGCCAATTTTGTCACCGGCCCGAAAGTAGAATAGAATATAATAGAATATGGGTAAAATTGAAGTGAATTGAATTGAATTATACGTTTCAATTATTATTTATATTATACTCATTGCGTGATTGTATACTTGTTAATTTATTTTTTATAATACATTTACAGAGAAATTCATACATATGCACATTTAAACATTTATACATTGAAAATTGAATACTTTTTATTTGGAATATTTATATATAAAAAGAGAAAGGAAGGAAGGAAGGAAGATTTGATTGAGTAAGTTGGTGCAGAAAATGAACAAATAAAGACTTAACCCTACTGAGATGTGAGACGCGAGATGTGTTGCCTTTGTGCGCCATTACGACCGAGTTAAAATACACACACACACACATATATATATACAAAAGTAACAGATCATTTTTGTACTCAGTTCAATATTAGGCTTGGTAGTGAATAAATAAAAATAAAGGGGAAAAGAGAGAGACGAAAAGAAAGGTTTATTTTAGCCTTCCATTATAATATAAAATAAAATAAAAAATCACGCCTGTTTTTTTTTATATGCACCCACACAATGCTTGTAAAGCTCCAAATATCGGATTTTAAATATCCAAAAGAATAATAGTTAAGCAGCAAGTGTGTGTATATATATATAATAAATCAAATCATAAATTATAATAATCTGATTTCAATTATTCGGCAATTAGAATTCCAATAAAGCGGCATTTAGTACTTTAAAGTCAGCATAATTTATTTACTTGTCAAAATAACTAAAGAAATAAGTTTCTATTGAATATTTATATATTTCTCAAGTACATTATCACTAAAGAAAAGGCATGTAATTGTAGGTGAGCATTATATAAAGAATTGATCAGAATCGCTAGGTGTTATTGTATTATTATTTTGAAAGCTTAATCTGACACATTGATCAACCAATTTGTCGATTTTAATAATGAAAAAATCGATAGTTTAAAAGTTTATCTGTAATGGGCTGCGTGAAATATATATATATTATATATATTATATATATTAGTACGCATTGTTTGTTTAATTGCTAATAGTAAATAGTCTTTATATAAAAGAAGAGCATCAATTTCTGTATATAATAATTTTTTCTATAATTTTTTTTTTGCTCCTCCTGAAGTTTTAGGCTTTTAGCGCAATTGCATTATATTAGCTTTTATAAGGTATTTTATCAGCTAACTTTTTTGCTTTATTTTTTCTTCTATCTCTTTCTCTTATAATTAAAATAATTCCACTCACAAAATTCCCCTCTTAATCATTTTTTTTTGTAAGATTTAAGCTCATTTGAAACAAATTGTGAACAACTCCTTGCAATAATCTTATTAGATGATTAGATGCTCATAATTATTAAATGTTCTCTATATTTTGATCAATAAGATTATCTTAAATCCCATTACTTGTAATTATGACTTGAGTTGACCTCTCAGTATAGACATGTACAAACATTGAATAGAGTTTTTTTTTTTTTTTTTTGGTTATTTTGACATGTAGTGAGATCTATTGAGTTTGAAATATGAAATGCCGCAGTATTTGAATTACAAAAACCGCACTAATGGATTTTGTTGGATATTTAGATTCAGCTATTTAGAAACAAAATAAGCATAATACAAATATATAAATATAATGGTAATAGTAGAATTGTGGGGCACGTGGATTAATGAAAATGAGGGACCAAAAAGGGCACTTTACAAGACAAAAATCCAAGATTGGATAAAATAAACATGACACTCGATGGTGCCTTTTTTTTTTTGGTTTTTAAGGTACAAATAAGTACGGATTAAAATACATAAAGAATAAAATAGTAGCACTCTTTTTCTTTCTTTTTTAAAAAAAAAGAAGTCTACCTTTGGAATTTAGGCGATAATACACGTGTAGTGTCTAGTTGACCTTTTAACAAGTCAAAAATAAATTGATATGTAGTAATATTAAGAAGGCTATTCTTCCCTCTATATATATAAATAAATATATTCTTTCACTTGCTTTATTTATTTATCTATTTATTTGTGTGTATGTGAATGCATTCATTTATATAATATATAATAAGATTTATCAATTTATCTATCTATCCATTTAACTACCTAGCTAACTATATATGTATATGTATATCGGTCTCTGTCAATTGTTGCTTGTCTAATCTACAAAATTGTGCACACACTCACAGAGAGAGAAAAAGACAAAGAAATAAAATAAAATAAAATAAACCCTGTTGTATTGAATAGGCGATCAAATAGATATATTTTACATTCATAATTTTGTACAACACCAAAAAAAAATACCAAAAAAGACAGAGAGAGAGAGAGGGCTTTATCATTCTTCTTTCTTTTCTCTCTCTCTCTCTTACTCTCTGTCTTTTTTTTTCTTTCTTTCTTTCTTTCTTCTATTAATTTTTATTTAATATTTTTAATTATTTTGTATTTCTTCTTCTCTTTCTCTCACCTAAAAAAAAAAAAAACATACGTACAAAAGACAGAAGACGTTGAATGAACTGATTTTTTACTCCTTTTTCAAACCAAACAATATATTTATTTATCTGTTCATTTTACCTACCTGTTAGTTATTTGAACTCAAGAAAAGCCTCTCTCTCTCTATATATATAAATTCTATCTTAAACAAACACAGACACACAGAGAAAGAGAGATACATATACATAATATACATTCACGCCTCTTTGCACACATAATCTTTTAACTTTTATTTAATACCATTCTAATCTAAAAACTCCTCTTCCACTTCTACCTCTACTTCTTCATGGCTATGATCCAGCAAACCCCTGTCTTACTCTGTGCACAGACTGAAGACGAAGATATTGCTCTCTCAAACTACCTCACTACAAAGATTCAAATGAATAACCATCACCAGGCAAGTTAAAACTATAATAAAAATAATAATAAACAAAAAATATATATATATACTTTTTTTTTCTTGCTTATTTTGGTGGGAGGAGGCACAATTTATATCTACCTCTATCCCATTGGTTCCCTATTTTACTGCTTCTTCCTATTCTTATTATCATTATTATCATTTCTCTCTTTCTCCCTCCTTCTCTCTTTTTCTCTCTTTTTATGATGATTTCTATCAAGTCTATTATATTATATACTTTATTTTGGCTAAAGATTTTTATATATAAAAAAAATAATATATAATTTTCTTGTCCATTCTATCCTTTTTATCTGTCTTTATTTCTTTTTTGGTTACCCATCTCTGGGTTTCCAGAAACGATCACAGAAAGGGCGCACGGTTGCCGTATTCGGCTGATGGGTTTATTTATAAATCATTTCGTCCCTTGTGATATATTTTTATTTTTATTTTTATTTTGTAATCCCTCCACTCCTCCCCCTCCTTAAATACAAATACAAATATATATTTTCTGTTATTCTTATTAACTCTTCAAATTAGCCTCAGGATATTTGGGCGCACCAACAGCAGCATCATCAGCATCAGCAGCAGGCAATTACCGATTGGTCTATTCAACAAGCTGTCTACGCACAAAACGGACCTTACCAATACCACAACGTCTATCAAACAAACCCACAGACACAGATCAAGCCAATTCCAAAGCCTCAGTCACAGTCACAGCGTCCTCCTTTATCATCGGCAGCAACATCCTCATCATCAACCTCATCCTCCTCCGCTCGTCGCTCTCGCACCCCGAGCAACAACTCAACCCTCTCTGTCCAGGTCAAGAAATCGACCTCGACTCCAATTACACCCACACAACGCCGCGAACGTCCTCCCTCGTCGGCCCTGTCGATGAGACGCGACGAAAACTTCTCCCAACCTCAATCGTCTTCACCGTCTTCCTCATCCTCCACTGCCAGGCGCCCTAGATCTACAGTAATGCAGGACAACCGATCCTACACTTCCGGACCTCCATCCTGTTACTCCGCGCCCTCTATCGCCGGCTCTGTTACCGGCTCATACGCTGGCTCATACGCTGGATCAGTTGCGTCCTCGTCAGTAGCAGCAGATCACCGCCGATCTTCCTTAACTTCCTTGTCCTCGGCTGCATCACACGTCTCAATCCAGTCAGACGCAGTCACTCCAAAGACCTCTCTCTCAAAGCGTCTGCGCAAAGTATTCAGCATGAACAACATGCGCTCAAACGGAAAACACAACAGCAGTGACCTCGGTTCCCTTGCCGCCTCACCTCCCCTGTCTGGCCATGTTACACCCTCAACATCGCTTGACTCCGTACCCGAAAACCAGTCTCTAAATCATCATAATGAAAAGAACCCTTCGTTACGCAGACGTTCACTTGCCTCGCTAACCTCGATCTTCCAGAAACAAGCAATTCCAACAAAGACGGTCTCGGCCAGTCTACCAACAACAGCAGCATCGTCCAACCGTCGTCACTCCTCAGGAGATCTGCGTCAGATGGTGGTTGAGTCTGCTGAAGATAGAAAGATCCGTCCAAGCTTACGGGTCAATACTGATCAGCCTCAGCAGTTAAAGAGAAATGCCAAAGGTAAGATATATATATAATATAAATATTAATATTAATAACAATTTTTAACAGTGGCAGTGGCAGTGGCAGTGAATAGTAATAGTAATAGCAATAGAACTGGGTCAGTGCCCGACTCCCCAAACTCGGCCATGTCTTCCCGATCCTCTTTGTCGCGTCTTCCTCCACCACAGCGAATCAACTCCCACGATCTTCCTTCGCCAACTCCTTCATCTTCTTCATCGTCCTCGCGCCCCCGTCTGCCGTCTCTTACAAAAACCCAGAACCGGGACGATGACGAAAGTTCTAATGGTGTCGAAAGACCAAAATTGGGAATCCATTATGGTCTGACAATGCATGGCTCTCCCCGTCTCAAGCCAGCATCGTACTCAAGCAGCTCTCTCGGTCTGTCGGAACAAACGCCTGTCGTGTCCAGACGGAGACTGGTCTTCTGTCCCACAATCCAGTGCCATGAGACATTCGCCGCCTCAGACTACGACCGTCGTTGTGATAACAATGCAACCTGCCAGAAACTCACTCCTTTGTTGGCCATGAGAATCAAGCAAGAACTCAATGAATACAAATTGACTGACATGGAAGTTCATGTCGACAGTCGCCAATACACACACTTTTTCCTCTAGATCTCCTCTATACTATCTTTCATACTCCATCTTTCCATACAAATTATTTTACCCAATATCCTTTATCAACACCTTCCCAATTACCAGTCTTTCTACCCCCCTTCACCAACTTACCAACTTACCTATCTATCTATCTACCTTTTTTTTGTATTTCTCTCTCTCTCTCTCTCTCTCTCTCTCTCTCTCTCTCTTTATTATTTTCTTTCGTTATTATCAGCAAACTCACTCCTTTATTTCCATTCCTTCTTCTTTATTTATTTATTTATTTATTTATTTATTTATTTCATTTTATTTCATTTCATTTCATTTCATTTCATTTAGTTTCGTTTAGTTTCGTTTAGTTTCCTTTATATCTCATTTCCTCCTCTTTTTAACCTCTCACACAAAAAATAAAACCGCCCTCCCTTTTTCATCTTCTCTTTTTTTTTGTCTCTTTCCTTCACCCCCTCCTCCTCCCCTTTCTCATTCTCTTACTACATTCATTATTATTACTATTATCCTCTATAAAAACACATACAATTCACAAACCCACACGACACAATATATATAATTATATATGTATGTATATTTCCTTCTTAATTTTCTTTATTTCTTTTTTTTTTGTTTAGTTCATAGTAATAAAAATAACATTAATCTGTTACAAATCTCATTATATATTGATTTGAATTGAATTGAGTTGAATTGATGTAGAAATGTAAATGATATTTAAATATTTAAATATATATCAAAGGAATATAATTAGAATGTAAAATAATTCCCTGGTATTTTATTGCCCTTCAATAACCAAAAATAAATAAATAAAATCCCTCTTCAGACAAAAAAAAATTATTTTTTTCTTGTGTTCAGTGAAACTTTTTTGCAAGTCGCACAATTTGAAAATACAAGCTTCAGGCATATTAAGCCCAATCGCTCAATGCTTTGTACTGTAGTCAACCAATAAACAGAAGAAAGAAAAAATTATTTAGAGAATACAAGTCGTATTTTTGGAATAGAAAAAATAAATAAAAGGTTCAATTTTTTTTTGTTTGAAAAATGAGACTTTCACTTTCAAATTATGCGACTTTAATCGCTCGTTTCTCTGTAAAAAATAATAAAAAAAAAAAAAAGAAAAAGAAACAATAGTCTATAATTGGAAATTTGCTATCTTGTCTTGTATATTCAAGTACATTTATATATCAAATTTGTGCTGATCAATTAATCTTTTTTTTTTTTTTTACATATCGCATTCATCTTCACTTTCTTATTTCAATCTTTCTTTGTGCGTATGTAGCCATATGGATGTGTACCTGTGTGTAAAAGTATAGTAGGCTTAATACATGCTAAATATGGAAATATTCATGTTAAATCAATATACATTTGTACACACAAAAAAAATAATACCAAAAAAAGAGAGAAAGAAAGAAAGAAAGAAAAAGATTGCTCTTCAATTCTATTTAATCTATCTATCTATGAATCATTCATTGGCCATAAAGAGGATCTATTTGACATTAAATGATAATCGAATTAATAATAGTAATAAGAAGAAGTTGGATAGATTAAAAGGCTTTTACAGTGAACAATGAACACCAACAGAAATAATAACGATATATATATATATATATATAAAAAGAGCTATATTCATTTATTCGTTAATATGATAAAATATGAAGTTATCTCTGTGTGTGATTTTTTTTTTTACCTGTCACTTTTACCTACCAACCTCCCACCTATATTAGTTGAGTAGCAAAAAAAAGGGGGTTCCTGTGCTTGTAAGTCTTGCCACAAGTCACAATTATTGGCCATAAACAAAAAAAATTCAAGTCCCACCTTGCCCCCCCCCCCCCTCTACATACTTTTTTTTTTATTTTAAAAAAAAAAAGAATAAGCTGTCTCATTACCTACCACTGACAATGTTTGGTTCCTTGACAAGAAGAGTCGTCAGACATAATGGTATCTGTGCTTTCAGACCTACTGTAGCCCAAGTAAGCACTGGCCATTACACCATTTACCTCTGTGGTTATCTACTATTTTATTATTTTGCTATTTTATTTTGAACATTACAAAATAAAATAAAATAAAATAAAATAAAATAAAAAGCAAGGGGGAAGGGGAAAAGAAGAGAGAGAAAAAAAAACATTTTATACAGACACATTATTGACACATTACAATGTCACATTTGTATTAATGTAATGCATTTATTATTTTTCTATGGTTCTTTATTACTACAATTGCCATTATTATTATTATTATTATTATTATCCTTCTATTTTCATTTCGAAAAGTCCGGTCGCCATGCTTCGACAGAAACACCTAGACAGCATGTTGCTTACGAAGAAGCTCTCAAGTTGATCCAGACTGACAAGAAAGAGCGTCTCCAAATGCTCTCTCAGGTTGAAAAGGAACTTGTTCGTGTTTGCAAAGGTAAATAAACTAATCACATCCATACACTCACACGCATGTACAAAACCAAATATATATATATATATATAAAGAAAATTTTATTAACAAATTCGAAAATACAAATATGCCCTTTTTTTTAGCTACTTCACCTGCACAGCCTGCTCAACTCCAAGCTCTCGAAGCTCTTCGATACGACCTTCTTGTCAAATCCGAATTGAACGATCCTCAAGTCCAAAAAGACTACAAGCTTGGCAAAGGTATGGCTTTTTTCTTATAAATATATATATATATATATATATCCATGTGCAGATGTAATTAGAGAGACATAGACATACAGTGTTATATACAGACCAGATATTAATATAGATATGAATGTAAATTATACCAAAAAATGCTAAATGTATATATACATTTTACTCATCCATAACATTTTGTCTGTTTAGTTGATATGGGACGCCCTGTGTATCGTTACATGCGCCAGCGCGAATTCCAGAAAGTACCGCGTGCAAAGTTGATGGAGCGTATCACCCAAATGAACGTTATTCCTGATGTGTTGGCTCCTGGTTTGTCACCAAAGGTTGAGGTTTCCATAAAGCTTGCTGATGAGCAATCTGTTGTTGAGCCTGGTGTGTTTGTTCAACCCGAGCAGGTAAAGAAAAATGATATCTATATAAAAACAAGTCAGTTGGAATTTAACCTTTTATTATTACAATTACTATTATCATCGTAAAGACTGTTAAGAAACCCGAGATCGAAATCACCAACTTCCACACTGACACACGGTTGTACACCTTGATGCTCGTGGATCCCGGTAAGATGATAATTTCTTTTTTTTTTAAAAAAATAAAAATAAAAGATTACCAAACTCTACCATCAATCCACTCGCACTTACACACATTCTCTCTCTCGCTTTTTTTTTTTTAAAAAAAAATACAGATTCACCTGATGTGGCTAACCAGACATACCAACAGCACTGCCACTGGTTAATGTAAGTCAATTAATATTTTTTATTTCAAAAAAAGAAAGACAAAATACATCATTCAATTCAATTGGTTTTAATTGATTTTAATTGGTTTCAATTCGTTGGTTACTAAAACAAAATGTGTGTATGTATTGTAGAACAAACGTACCATTGTCTGCCACAGAACCCATTGTGAATGCTGGAGATTCTGTATTGGATTATGTTCCTCCCCATCCCCAAAAGGGCACCAAATATCACCGTTACACACTCGTTGCCTTTGAACAGCCCAAGGAGGGTCAGGAGAAGGTTGAGATCAAGGTCACCAACAGAGATAACTTTGATATCAAGACATTGGCTGAGACCCACAACCTTTCTGTCAGCGGTGCTTCTTTCTTCCGTCAGGAATGGAACCCCAGTGTTTCCAAGATCTATGAAGATGTATTGGGTAAGTCCCTTTCTTATTTATCTTTTGCGGTGGCTCTTTCTTTATGCAGTATAGTGTAGTGTAGTGTAGTGCTTTATTTTGTGTTAGTTTGTTTTATTTATTTATCTAATCACCTTTTTGTTTTGTATTGTAGGCACTCAAGAGCCTGTTTATGGCAAGCCACCCAAGGTCCAGAACTACATCAAGAGAACAACTTACTTTTAGATTGAAAAAATAAAAAGATAAAAAATATAAAATGAGAAAAAAGAGGGGGTGTGAATGGAGAGTTTATTTTTCTTTTTCTTTTTAATGTTTTTAACATTATATATATATATATGAAAAATAAAATATAGAAAAATCATTGTAAAATAATAAAGGGATTCGTTGGAATTGACACTGTTATTATGCCAATTGTAGAAATACACCATTGCAAATTCTAGTATTTCCAAATAAAGGTGTAGATACAACATATATGTCACAACAACTACAATATTTACCATCTATATACACTATTTTAACCAATGTCTTGCACATATATAAAAGTGAAGATCTGCACAGGACCAATAGAATTTTTTTTGCATATTTTGTTTTTCTATTGTTGTTGTTGTTGTTGCTGCTTTTTTGTTTTTTTTTGTTTGTTTTTTTTTTTGGATTTTATCATAATTGATTGATATTAATTGAGCTCAAATAAGAGCATCTTTTTTTTTCTTTGTAGAAGAAGAAGAAGCATAAAATCTTAAGAACTCAAAACACTTACAGCGGAGCATTTTTTTTACTCGGATCTCTTTAATAGTTCTGTGACAATATTATTATTTTTTGCTCAGATTTGGAGGGGGGGTTTATTTTTTTTATTTTATTTTTTGGAATTACGGGTACCTTCTGGACTTTTACACGCTTTAAAAAAAAGGCAGTTTTCTTCTTCTTTTTATGAGCGAAACATTAGTGAAAATAGTGTATGTATGTATGTATGTATGTATGTGCATATATATATATATATATATATATATATATATATATACCTGTTGATAGAATTGAACCAAAATAATAAGTGGTTTGGGCTTGAGGAGGTAAATGTGGCGGCTGTTTTGTGCAGTACACAAATGAAATAAAGAAGGAAGGAAGGAAGGAGGTAAGATTGTAATATGTATTGTTTCGTTGGATTTTTCGGATATTTATCATATATACTACTAAAAGCCTTGTTTTCAGATATCTATCTTTATAAAGTTTTTTTCATTTAGATCAGATTCTCTATCTCTATCTCACATACAGATACACAACAAAGAGTTTCTTCTTTAACCCTTCATATACCTATGTTATTCCAAACAAATATCTGTTTTATTGTTTAAAAATGAGCTCTCTTTTTGGATACTTGTGTTACTAAGCCTAGATATCAGAGATTTTTTTTTTAAAAAAAAAAAGGCAAATAGGGGTAGAGTAACGGTAGTCATGGTAGCGATGGTTGCTGTTAGTGATAAATGTTTGTAATTGTAAGGAGTTGGCAGGTAATTAAACCTTTTCACTTTTTCTCTTCTTTAGTTTTTGAATAATAATAATAATCGATAAATTTGCACATGTCATAAAACTCTCTTTCCTATAGTCTAAAATATAGCATATTACTCATAGTTACAGATAGAAATAACAGTAATATCAGTAATATCAGCTTTTAGTACATTTGTTCAATAGAGTTTATTATATATATATATCAATAAAAATGACCAAGGATATATTTATTTTTTCTTTACAGGCATACATGCATGTTTTGTTTTATGTATATGAGTGTTAATATGTACATCTTTATAATATAATAAACAAAAGATACATATAGATAGAGATAGATAGATGATCTTATCCTTATTCTTTTCATTTTATTTTTTTCTTTAAAGAATTCGGCAGTAAATTAGGCAAATACGAGGGTGGGGTGGGGGGGTTAACTATCAAAAGTTGGTTTGTGTTTTGTCATGAAAGCTTTTGGCGTTTTAGTAATGTGGCTGCACAAAAAGAAGAAGAACTCAAATCGTAAATAAGATATTTTAGCATTTATTCTTCATCTTCTTTTTATTTGGAGACTAAAATCCAAAGAATTCGATTTATGAAACTTGGAATAAAAAAAAGGAATACTGATAACAATACTGCTAATAATAATCCAGGAGGGTACTTCTTTAAAGAAAGCTATATAATGATTAAATGAACACATACTATTAAACTACTGACTTTTATTATCATATGTGTTCAATTGAGAATTGCGATAAATGATGTTACATTAGATGTGGCGTTAATTAGCTTACTGTGCTTACTGTGCTTACTTCGCTTACTTGATTTTACCCAACTAACTTGGCTTATTTTAACTAATAAAAGAAAAAGAGGGAACTAATTGAATAACCTTTTTTTTTTCATGTTTTGTGTAGGGTCTATATGCTATTGTTACTACTTTTGCTACTATTACCATTACTATACATATGTATATATTACTATCGTTACTTTGTTCACAAAAGGAATTATTTGAGTTTTGTTTAGAATCCACTTTAAAAGACAAACCAAAAAAAAATATTAGACAATTTTTCTTTTATACCAAATATATACATATCTATGCATATATATATACAGATGTATACATACATAAAGACAGACTGGCATATAAGCATAAAGAAAAAGATATATAGAGAAATGCGCACACACAAAAGGTCAGAAATAACAGTATAAGGAGGAAAATCTTATTTTTGCATGGTAATTTCTTCTATTCATAGATTTTATAAAAAAAAAGGAAGGAAAAAATAGCTAAAAAAAATGATCCATTTTCTTTATACATACATACATAATTTTATTTTTCTTGGATAAAATTAAGGGCAAAAAACAACATCATAATCATCATCACTAAAAAGAAATAGCCTAAAAGAGATTTTTGTTGTATATTATTGTATTTTATCTTTTAAAATTGCTTGAACAAATAACAACAACAAAATATCCCCCAGAATATTGGTATTCATATTTACTGGTTCTGGGTTCTTTAAATGGGACCAACCTATATATTTTATTTTCATATAAATATATATGTTTTCAAAAAAGTAATAATGGTAATAATTCCAATAATAAATTCATGTACAGGTATGAATTCTATACACATAATTAAAATCTACAAATTGATGAAAATTCACATTACATTACATTACGTTACATTTAAAATTAAAATTAAAATTGAAACTAAATATAAATAAATGAACATGAACTTCTTGGTGAATATTTTGGTGTACATAACAATTGGCATTTTTCATATGTAAATAATAATAGTGAAATATAATTTGGCTCTTAAAGAGCAGAGTTTTTATTTTATATTTTATATTTTATAATATATGTATTCAAACAAGAAATCTCCATTAAATCAATCTATTCGAATGTATTTAATTTATTTAACCAAATCTGGTGAGATGAGGTGATAATGACAATAGAAACAATATATGTTTTTTTTTATATAATAATCATAACTTACAAAATTTATATTCCATTAAGAAATCAACCCATTCTAAAAATGAGAGATAATTCAAAAGAAAAGCCAAAATAAGATCAGATAAAGAGTAGGAATATGAATATGAATATGAATAGGAATAGAAAGATTCTGCGTTACTATTATTTTACTAATATGACTTTATTCATTCACCCACAAATTACGAAATATACAAGATACACTATACGAACCCAAACCCAAACCCAAAGCCAAAGACAGAAAGAATCGTATATTGATCATTAAACACTCTACATCACCATTGTAACCACTGACAATTGTATTTTACTTCCATGGCCCACGGTTGCACAAAGGTTGTACACATTATATGATTATTGTCTGAGCAACTTTATCGGAACATGTCCAAAAAGAATCATATATAAATTTAAAGGCACATGTAAGTATGAGTTTTTTAAACGTTATCAATAGCATGAAATCAACAGACAATCTAAAGAATAAAAGGACAATATGTCTGTTAGTCTATAATTCTGTTTTTTTTGAATTCTTTCCTTTTTGAATTACTGAACTAAGCAAAACATCAATTAGTCCACAGATTCTGTACTAAACTCAATTTAATCCTAAAAAGAAAAAGAGGACATTGAGAAATAGTAAAAAGGAAGAAATATTATGCGAGAACGATTTTCTTTGATCAATGTATATATATACAAATAAAGATACAGCAGCAGCAGCAACAACAACAGCAACAGAAAAACACAAGGATTTTATTTATTTATATAGTGAAATTTAAACTTGTAAATATAAAACACACAATGTACAACCTAACCGTCATTAGTCTTTACGTCCCCTTGGCAATGATCCCTTATTTGTACTACAGCAGGATAACGACATCGGGCTGCACTGGTCTTGTAAACACAACCGAGCTAAAGGCGTTTCCAGTTGTGCGCACAACTCTCTGGTACTAGACTTTTAAAAGGCTCTAAACTAACATCCCCTCAAATCTCTACAAAAGTCTATCTATGTCTGTATGTCTGACTGCTTGGCTGTCTGTCTGTATCCTTGCTTGGTTACCTAACTACTTACATGGCTGCCTGCCTACATGCCTACCTGCCTGACTGTCTATATATAATTCTCCATTCCCTACCCTTCTCCTTTGAATAACAAGCTCAACGCAGATTGTGAAAGGAGGCCCCTTGTGAAAACGTTCCTTATTGACGGATTTGATCTCCGAAATTTAAATAGCTATCAAAAGGGTAATGAAGAGGCGTGTTCCTTTTGTAGTATTGTACGACATCAAGATCTACCATTGTTCACACTATACATCACACGCGGCTCGTGGCTACCTTGTTTTAGGCTTGGATTTTTCTCTTACTTTATTTTGATATTATTCTTATTCTTATTCTTATTTATTTATTTATTTTACACCCTTTTTCTTCTTTTTCTATAGTCTCTCTCTCTCTCTCTCTATCTATCTATTTCTCCCCCTCCCTTTCCTTTTCTCTTATCCTTCTTTTCTTTTCTCTTTTCTGCCTTTTGTATTATTTTTTCTGCTTCTTGTCTATCGAAATAATGGCTGGCCACACACATGTTTTAAGCGATAGCCATAGTCGAACGATTCCCTCTGACTATCTCGCCAACAGTACTATTGTTAGTCGAGCAATGGCAGCAGCGGCAGCAAACAACCATCACAACGCTCATGCCATTCGACGAGGACGACAGTCTCATCGCTACGATGTTTCAGTATTTTATTCAATGGCAGCCGAACAGGATATTGAAATTGAAGATGACCTTGCCTTGGGTAAAAACATAATAATATACATATAATATAGATTTCCTCATATTATTACTTATTCTTCTTCTTCTTTTGTATATTATATGTATTATATATATAGCCCAGCGAACTCTTCGAGATTTTAAATCCAATATATCTGCTCAATCGAAAAAGAATTTCATGCTCGAAAGAGACGTCCGTTTCCTTGATTCCCGAATCGCACTCCTTATTCAAAATAGAATGGCCCTTGACGAAGTAAGCCACCTTTGTGCTGAGCGGTCCTTGTTTCTCACCTTCAACTTCCCTTTCCTTCCCTTTCCCTTTTACCTATCTATCTACATATCTCTACCTCAATCAAATCAAATCACACCAAACCAAACCAAACCAAATTAAACCAAAATCAAATCAAATCAAATCAAATCAAATCAAATCAAATCAAATCAAATCAAATCAAAATCGAATTGAACCGAATCTCTCAATATTCTACTCCCGGATAGCAAACCGAAGTTGTTTCTCATCTTGAGTACCATGACGACGACACCGAAGGTCATTATCCAGACGATCGAAAAATGCAACAATACGGAAGTCTCTTTTTTCTGCTTCAATGTGAACCTCGCCACATGGCTACTCTCTGTCGACTAGTCAGATTATCTGAGATTGATACTCTTCTTCAAACTGTCATGTTTACACTTTACGGGAACCAGTATGAGAGTAGAGAGGAGCATCTTTTATTAACCATGTTTCAGGTAATATTTATATACATGTATAGATCTAAATGTATATGTGTGAACATAAAGATGCATCCCTGTCAATTAAATGAAAGTTGTATCTGATCAAGTCCCTAATATAATTAATCATACTGAAATTGCTATTACCCTTTCTTTTTTTCGCTTGGTAAATAGAATGTATTGGCTGCACAATTCGAGACAACATCAGAATTTGCTTCTCTCCTACGGGCCAATACACCTGTTTCGAGAATGATGACTACGTACACGCGTCGTGGACCTGGTCAGTCGTATCTAAAACTTGTTTTGTCTGACAGAATCAACCGCCTGATCGAACAAGTCGATTTGAACCTACAGATCAACCCACTTAAGGTAAAACAATAAGTAATGTTAATAGTAATATTAATAATAAGAATAACAGTAGCAGTAGCAGTAACAATAGTAGTAAAAATAAGAATAATACAAAACACAACACAGTAAAATACAATACATCATAATACATTATATTATATTAAGTTTCATTTCATTTCATTTCATTTCGGTTTTATTTAATTTCATTTCATTTAATTACATTACATTTAATTTCAATATAATACAATACAATGCAATATATAATATAATATTTATATATAATATATGCCGAAAATAAAATGAAATTTTACATGTACAAAAAAAGAAAAAGAACCTTGAAAAATTGACAGAAAAAAATTACCCTTGCTTTCCTACGTTTTGCAATTTATATATATATATACATATATGCGTAGGTTTACGAAGAATTGATATTGGCGGCCGAAGAGGGCCGGGAAGAAGACCAAGGTCTCGAGCGAGGGATATCAGCAGAGGGAGCTGCAGCCCATCCTCAAGTCAAAGCCACCATCAAGCCCAGACTTGCATTGTTAATGGAAACTGCCGAGTCTTTTCTGGACACCATCTTAGGATCGCTTGACAAGGTTCCGTATGGTATCCGCTGGATATGTAAACAGATCCGTTCCTTGACCCGACGAAAATATCCGGACGCCTCAGACTCTGCAATTGCTTCTCTGATCGGAGGCTTCTTCTTTTTAAGGTTCATCAACCCAGCAATCGTCACCCCTCAGGCGTACATGCTCGTCGATAATCTACCAAAGAACCACCCACGAGCCGTACTCACACTTGTAGCCAAACTTCTCCAGAATCTAGCAAACAAGCCAGCGTATGCCAAAGAAAGTTACATGATTCCGACCAACTCGTTTATTGAAAAGAATAAGCAGCGGATCAACAAGTTCCTCAATGATTTGTGTGAAGTGGGAGACTTTTATGAGAGTCTGGAAATGGATCAGTACATGACCCTTTCTAAAAAAGACATCATCATCAATATCACGCCTAATGAAATCTACAATACCCTTGCCCTCTTGCAGCAGCACATCGATATCCTCGCGCCCAAACCAACAGATCACCTCAGAGTCTTGGTGAGTGAACTGGGAACAGCTCTTCCACAAGTAGCACGACAACACAACAAACCCATTGAGTTGCCTCTGTTTAGCCGATGGGAAATACCAATCCAAGGCAAGTCTAATATATATATATACACTATTTTGTTTTAAATTGTGTAATGTGTAGTGTGGTATCATGTAATAAACATTTTAACATTTTGTCATAATATTTTTTGATACGTAGACTTGACCATGGCTCTAATGTCAGAAAACAACATCACTCAGAGTGACATTACATACATGGAAACCAAAGCCATCTTTGTTCAGATCATTCGTTCTCTTCCTTATCTATCCAGACCTCCTCTCCAACTCGCGCAGATACTAGAAACCGCAAACACTGCAAAAGATCCACTCCTTACTCGCAAAGGACTCAAGGTGACCGAGATGCTGGATGAGTTGGAACGAATGGGCGTCATCCATCGGCAGGATGGTTACAAACTCCTTGTAGAAGAGATCACCCAAGAGCTGGCTCATCTAGGCGATCTTAAAGACAAGGTTGTTGAAGAGATGGGCAGTCTAGAGGGTGTGTACAAAACTATTCTGGACCACAACAATTATCTCAAAATTCAACTGGAGAGTTACCGTGCCTACCTCCAGAATGTTCGAATGCTCAGTATTGGTAACACCAAGGAGGCTGTGCACCATGGACACGAACCCGCATTGGCAGAAAAGCAGGTTGGCTTGGGCGTGGCCCTAACAACAGGAAAGACTGCCAAGAAAACCGTAAAATCCCAGCATCTTCAGGGGCCATTCAAGTTTTCCCATCAACAGCTAGAGCGTGAAGGTGTGATTGCGGAGACAGAGGTGGCCGAGCATCGACGATGCAACATATTCTTGTCAGTATTGTCGCCACTCCCGGGAACTTTTATCATCTCTCTTCATTACAAGGGAAGAGAAAGACCGGTTTTGGAGATCGATTTGAAATTAGACGACCTGTTGGAGAGAGTAAGTGTTACTGTAACTGTGGCTGTGGCTGTTGTTGTGCCTATAGGCCTTTGGCTGTAGGTGTAAGTATAATTGTAAACATGTATTCTAACTGCTTGCTTGATGTATTATAATTAATTATAGCAACAAGACAATGTGCAACTGCTGGATTTGGAGTACATGAAACTGCATGTCACAAAGACACTGCAACTATTGACAAAAACATTCATGACAAAGAATAAGTAGGTTTTGTAATATAAGAATAACCTTTGTAATAGCTTACTCATCATGCCAACACTTCTTTAGGACTGGTTTCTTTTCCTAAGTGAATTATGAATCCTTGCATACCTATCTTTCTTCTCCTTTTACGGGTCATCTCTTTTTATATATCTACATATCTATATCTACAGTTAGCGTTTGATTTAGGACTATATATAATTTCTTTTTCTTCATCTGTTCTCTGCTAAGATTATCACTATCTTCCAATACACTGTTAGTGGTAAATATAATTTTACAAATATCACTATATCGAACTCAGAGTTTGTTTGTTTGTTTTTGTAAAAATAAATAAAATAAAATTAGAAGATATTTTTTGCTTAACATTTTTGAACCATGACAGGTTAAACTACTTGTTCCTTTCTTTCTATCTACAAAATATAACCATTTTGACCTACAGAATAAAAGCTTTGTTCCTATATACTATATTGCAATATTGCAATATTGTAACCTTATCCAGGACTTGCAAGAAAAATAAAATGGATACATCGTTTCTCATATAGTAAATAGGGTTTAAACTTGCCTCATTTTCTTGGACGTAGAATTTCTCCTAGTCAATAAAACACTTTTCATCCAATACTATTGTTTTCATAAATTAAAACAATACAAGAAATCCTTTTGACTACCCCTATGGTAATGAACTGTGGTAATGAACCGTGGTAATGAACCGTGGTATAAATCAATTTTAACAAAAAAAAATTGAAACAAAATATTCTGGTTCATTAAAACTTGTGTCTAGCCTGAGCCAGTAAACCACTTGTACCTCGGACACATAGCCCGCTTATAGCCCGAACTACTAATCCTCTTATAGCCTGCACCCGTGGCCCGTTTCTAGCCTGAACCCGCAACCTTCTTCTAAATCGGACCCGTAACCCGCTTCTAGGCCGAACCCGTAACCTTCTTCTAACCCATACATGTAACCCGCTTCTATCCCGAACCTGTAACCCTCTTTTAGCCCGAGCTACTAACCCACTACTAACCCGGTTCAGTAATCTGATGCATTACAGCCAACGTTTGATATAATAGAGAGGGTATGAACTTGTAGCAATTTGATAGGAAGCTGCTGCAAGTCCACATCATCTCTAGTACATCTGTTTAACACCGTTTTTTGTGCAACATTTCTGCTTATTAAGACTACCATGAAAATACCTGTTTTACTTTTATCTCAAAAAGAAATATATTAAACATTAATTATAAAGATGTCTAAATTGCTTTGGATGCTAATTTTATAGTGCTGAAGCCAGAGGTAGGTTTAGAAAATAAAAGGCTTCATTTCCAAAAGATGAATGAGGGGGATTTTTTTATGGATAGTACGTCAATTTCTCAAACATTATATAAGACTCATATATAAAACGGACACAATAAAAAGGAAGGAGGCAATTAGAGAATAGACAGAGTCTATTAATGTTCAAAGGATTTTAAAGGAGCATGGCATGTAGAAATAGCTTAATCCCAATGGCCTATCCAAAATGTGAAAAATGGATTGCAACAAAGACAAGTCAGAAAATAACTACTACTGTGTCTTCTTCGCCTTGGCTCTATCTAGCCTAACTTTGCTAATAACATGATAAAAATCCAAGAGGTGGTAACAGAGATGGGTCGCAACTTTGAGCTGCATCTCAAGTTCTACTGTGAATGCAGTTGGATCGAATGCTACTGGGATTCAGCTTAAATGTATGACCTACCCTTAATTTTAACTTTTGTTTAAAGTCACTCCAAAAAGATCTTCCTATCCTTTTTGGATTATTTATATCAGGAATCAGTAAGCCTCATCATATCATTGGCATTAAGGGTTAAAAGAAGTACACTATAACATACGGCTTTTCTTTCCTTTCTAAAAGTATTTAATTTTATGTTAAATGGTCCAAAAGGAAATGGTAAAAATGATATTCCAACTTCAAATGTTCGATTAAAAATGTATAATACTTGGAATGATTATTATCCAAAGTCATGGCCATTATTATTTTCAGTACATAATGTAAATTTGATAAGAGGTATGTTAAAATTGTTTATGTTCAAGTAATACAGGTGTTAAAGAAAGGCGTGAATAGAAGAAAAAGTGCAAAGCCATTTATTTAGGACTATGTTTTATGTGTGTATATATATCCTTCATCAATTTGATTTCTATCAATTATATATAAGAAGAGAGATAGGAGGAAGAAATAAAGGTAGATAAAAAGAGAGACGAGTTTCATTAGTGAATTGTAGGATGGGGTTATTGACTCATTTTTACAAGCAATCAACGCTACAACATTTACGCCACTCGTATTTAATATCAAAAGGTATTTAATACAAGTATGTGCCTTGACTTTTTTCTTTGAAGAAGGACACTCTTTCCATGTAAATAGATCGTTTTGAATGCAAGCTTTTGATAGCTCAAAATCACAAGTACGCCTTCAAATATAATTACATATATGTATATATTATCGCTTAACAGAACATGATAGAATGAATTATTGGTGGGGTTGTATTTGGTTAGATTCCATGACCTATCTCACCTATAGTAAAGTAATAGTAATAATAGAATCTTCTTCTAGCAAAACAAGATACAACTAGGCTTATTTTTTTTTATCTCTTTACTTTCCTTTTGATAACCCCCCCCCCATCTGATAAACTAACTTTCTTATTATTAAGTCATATATGTAACCTTTTTTTTTATTTTTCTCTTCCAACTTTGGAGCATAAGACTATTGAGCTTCCAAAGAATCCTAATTGACCCCATGGATAAACAAGGAATCAAATTAATAGTATTAACAGTTTGTTCTCAAGCACCATTACCAATGTTTCTTCCCTCTTCTCTGGTTTTTGGATTTTGATTACACTCAGAAAGAGTACCCTGCCCAGCCTTTCTTCTGTAGATACAATAACTTCGTATATATACACATACACATGCACACACATATATATATATGTGTGTGTGCTGTGCGTTGTGCGCGGTGCATACACTATCTCACTGTGATTTTCGTAGATTACCTACAGAAATAAAATGAAAGTGCATGCAGAATAAGCTCTCGGATAAATGCAGCATAATGCAACGTAGCGCAATACAATGCAATGCACTGTTATATTATGTGTTAATTTTTATATATATATTTATTAGAAAAGTACTAGTTATTGTGAGGTTAAATGGTATTAAGAGAAGAAGAAATGAAGGAGAATAATAATGTTGGATGATTGGGTTTATGGCTTTATGAGTGAGTATAAATATAAAGATGAATGGGTGTGTGAGCTCGAACATTCTTTTTGAAAGGAGATTTCAATAAAAAAAATGGTAGTAAAATCAAGTCAAGACAAGATATCAAAGGGTCTCTGGTCTAGTCTGGCCTGGTCTGGTCTGGTCTGGTCTGGTCTGGTCTGATTTACTTTAGCTTAGTCTAATCTAGGCTTGTGGTAGTGGTGGTGGCAGTGGATCATTTTCATTTGTTATAACCAGAGCAGGGATAGTAGTACATATTGCTAATAGGAGTGAAGATGTCCAGATGTGAAAAATCATTGTCTACAGAGGATAGTATTAATACCAATATGTTAGTCCTGCAACAATAAGTAGTGTGGTATTCTTGAAACACAGAAGACCTTACCCGTTGTTTTCGGATCACATTAGAGTCAATAATAGATGTCAGGTCAGAAATACTCTCAATGTCAGCTTTCTTCATGCCATCTGACCGTCGAAGGTCTAGCTCATACAAAGGTGTCTGTCTAAATTTCATTGATCCCCGAATTGTGCAGAACCCAGACCGACCGGACAGCAGAGACATGAGAAAGAGAAATGTGAATGGGAAGATGGGTATTCGATACCACCGACACATATGGTGGGTGTATGTATAGTAGAATACTGAAACAACATGCATAAAGTTGACAAAGGTACCAATATAATGGAGCATAATCCAGCTGTAGCGAATATTCTGTACTGCATGATGAACAAAGTTCTTTAGGCTTGACTTCTCCATTAATTGTCGAATATGCTGATGAGCTTCCTCAAAAACTTCTGGATTTGTGGTTCGGGTACCCCAGTAGACTGTGTATCTGTTCTGATAACCAATAACGTTCAGCTCTTTAAAGGAGTCTGGGTGAAAGAATGTTCGCAGGACAGTATTGACTTCATCTCTGAACGGTTGCTTTTCTGCTCCGGGAGCAGTGACAAAGGACGACAGGTTCTCTGGGTTATTTCCATCTAGCTCACCAAACATGCTACACTTGGTTTGCTTTTCTTCCATGGCAGGCAATTGTTTTGTATTCTTTGGATGAGGCTTTTCTGTAGGTGGCGGTGACATTGCCTTGTCTTCATCCGAAAGTTGCTTGAATCGTTCACAGTAACCAATGTACCAATAATAAAAGTCGAGATTTTCGGCCGTGTGTTCTTTCAATTGGAGAAATGCTCGAAAATCTTGTAAAGATATAGGAGAGCATGTACTTCCTGTCAAAATGTGATCTGTAGGCACAGAACAAAATAGAAATAGAAATATCAATTGATATTAATAATTCATACAGTAAATGAATCAATAAATATACAAAGAAACACAATAGAAATTAAAATAATAGCACGGATTCTATAAAGTGGAATGAAATTAAACGGAAGAGAGACTCACCAAGATGAACATCGTTAATTTCTGATTTTGCACCACCGAACCATCTTGCGAATGCTGTATCCCACCCAAAGAGGTATTTTTTTGGCATTTGAAACTTCTTTATATAATCCTTGCTTTTTTTTTAAAAAAAAAAGAACTTATTTTTTGGTGTACTGATTCTTTTGTAGGAGTAAAGAGCGCGCTAATAATTAGTTTCGAGCCGTTGCTCTTATACATGTGTATCAAATGTGTCCTTAAAAGATAGGGTCGGTCCAAAAAAAGAAGTAAAAAAAAACAAGGGCATCGACAGTACAGAAATTGAGGGGGCCATTTATGTGAGTATTTATCAATCGTTTTGTTCTCTCGCGATGACCGTGTAATAAAATCGCGATCTCCTTGTTAACTAAATGTGATTCTGATCCGCCACAACAAAAGTAGGCTGGCATAGTAAATTCGATAAGGTTTAAATGGTTGTTGTATCACAAAATCGATCGTCTTCCTATATTGTGTGCTTTAGTAAACGATTTACTCTATGTCAATATGTAATGCTCTTTGAACTTCTCCTTAATCACTAAAAAAAAGCAAATGTATTTTGATCGGTTTAATATGCAGGACCCTTTCTCATTTTAGGACAACTGTTTTATACACATATATGTATATTGTGTATAAACATCAATATTATATAATATCTTAGTCACAAATTCTTATGAATACACATCTTTTTATTGGATCTTACTTGGGAAGTAAAAGTCGAGGTGGAGGTGGAGGTGAAGATGAAGGTGTAAAGGAGGGGGGTTTATTATTTTATTTTACTTTATTTTGTTCACAAAACGAAACAAAAAAGAAACGCACCAATAGATAAAATGTATATACAATATGTACATAGACTACACATTTAAAAATCAGAGTCTGTATGCTGGTAAAGGACCAGTTTTAAAAGCAACAACTGATTCTGCCGATGACAGCGGAATGAATCAGTTGCTATGAAAAGGAAATATTAAGAAAAAAGAAAAAGAAAAATAAAGGGGCAAAGGGGGGAAGTAATGGAGCCAAAAGAAGCTAATATTTGTGTTGTAACTACTCAAGGTTACAGGGTCTTATACTATTAATTATCTAATATTATTATTATTATTGAGTTGTCAGTTAAAAGGTTCAAGGTTCAAGATCAAGACAATACCATTGGCTCACAGCTCCTCTTTCTTTCTTTCTTTCGTTTTTTTTTCTTACATTATTATTACTATTTTCTGTCGTTCTTCATGCTTCTCATGCTCTTCATGCTCTTTTACTTTCTCCTAATGTGAGCTATAATAGATTTCAATATAGAAGGGCATATCTTTACCAATTCGCTTAAACATTGGTCATCATTTTACTCTCAAGAAATAATAATTACAGCTTAGGTCAAGTTAGTTACTGATGTTCTTGTGATATGCCTGTGTTTTACTAGTCAAGTAATACAAACTTTGATATATATTTGACACAAAATAAGGCCCTTGTTTCAATTATAAAGGAGATTAAACGTAATAATGAATTTTGATAAATACACCCACATATACATATAAATCAATATTTAATAACAATAGTAACTATAATAAAATCAAACCAATTCTCCTTAACTGAGCTTTTCTAATTCTTTTTTTTTATTAGCACGAGAAAGAAAGAAAGCACATCAATTAATCCGCCCTTTTTCGTTGTTGTCGTCTTCATTTTCTGCTTCTGCTTCTTCTTGGCGCACATGTTCTTGCAACAAGGGATGTGTCATATTCTCATATCCCTCTCTTCTTATTGACATAATAAAATAGACTGAGCAAAAGAAGAAGAAGCAAAACAGGGATATGTAGAGAAGTTCTAGGTGAAATTATTTTTTACCACTATTTTCTTGGGTGTTTCTTTTAGAAAATTGTAGTTTATCATCAGTAGTAAATTTGTCGATTTTTCTCTTTTGCCTTAATCAAACACATACGTAGAAGAATAAGCAAATGACCAGCTAGTTAGGTATTTGAGCATATAGATAGATAGACATACGGAGAGCCACACAAATAACTAGACAAAGAATATGTATAGTAGAAGCATAGATAGTAATGGTGTAGCTCCCAGTGTTTTTATTATATGAAATCCTAAAGAATTGTAGGTTAAAAAGCAGTATTATATACATATATATCTATTTATCTATCTCTCTTTGTAGCCAGTAATATATTATTGCTAGCCAAAATTTACAAAATGTCTTTATTTCTTAAAAAAACTACTTTATTAGTCCTTTCCCTTCTTTTCTAAGCAAGAAATAAATGCCTTTCTTGAATGCTGAACTCAACTTGATACATTCCCAAATTCTAAATATCAAATGCAAAGCATTCTAGAAATCCAGCATTCAAGCTGATAAATTCTTGCTTTGAACTCCAGGGAATAAATAAAGAAAAAAGGACAATAGGGATAAGTTCTCTCTCTCTATTTGCTTTGAGTATATAAAATACCCTTTCGAATAAATATGGAATTACAACTGAAAATGGTTAAAGAAGGGGAGGGGGCTTTACTTTATTCATTAAATATTGTGAGAACATCTTTAAGATTATATATATATATATAGCAAAATACGAGGAAGAAGAAGAGGAGGAAGGAAGATGAAAAAATAAGCATATCGTATCACTGCAAGGGGAGAGAATAATAGTAAGGGATTTATGCTTGCTTGTTTAAAGAAACAATAAGTGGAGAGAGTATGGAGGTTTATATTAAAAATAGCTTGTAGTGGGTGAGGGAAAATAAAGATTATTATACACAAATGTCTATGTGTTTTTGCGTACATATTGTTTATATTTTTAGATATACTTTCTTTACTGCTATTTCCCTAAGCAATTGATAGTCTAAAACCGTCTTGTTAAAGGCATATTTTATCAGAAATTTACATTTTCTAAAAGTATACCTATTACAAAGTACATGAGTCAAATGGCAACACACTCATATATACACCAATATACTAAATGCTAAATACTTGTGAAAGTTCAATTTTTTCTCTTGAGATTATTGGCTCGCCTTCTATTAATCCGCAAATCCTGTGTATTTTTATGATTTATTTCCAGTGTGAGAATGATACAGAAACAGTTTTGGTAGTTGTAATTACCTCTATTATGTATATGTATCTTAATAAAAAAATGATTTATTAGGAAAGAAAGATGTCTTATTAATAAAAAAAATACAAACCAACTTAAACAATGCAATACAATAAAATAAAGTAAAGTAAAGAGGTTATGTGGATAGAATTGAAAGAAGAGCATATGTGGTATATGTAGATTATACAACACAATAATAAAAAATAAAGAAGTACAATAGAGTGGCAATAATTTAGAAAAAATATAAAAATATTAAAAAAAAAACAGTGATTATTCTATTCTTTTTATCGTCTGCCCTTTCGGTTCCAGAAAACCAAAATATGGAAAACGATAACATTAAAGGCAGCAAAAGCAGCAAGAACACCAAGGTTACGCCACTTGTTTCCTGCATCCCAGCCATAAACGCCATTGTAATATTCTGGGCCAGAATTGTAAGAGCAGTATCCGCACAGTTCGGGTTGCACAGCGTCTGGGTTGGCGACGTATCCAAATCCACCATAGGAGAAATAGTTGGTCATGTACTCGCCACATGTCTGATTGGGCGGAGGAGAGAACTTGAGAAGATCGTTGTCTGTACATACAACCTTGATATCCTCGAGTTCATTTACTGCCAGACCTTCAATGTAGTAGTGGAATGGATCGATCCAGTACATCCATTTTCTCCAAAACGTAGGCATCGAAGTCTCGGGCTGCATCAGACCACAGAAAAGAATCAGCAAAGAAATAACCAAAGGATTGATAACAGCCGCCATAGTCGGGAGCTCAGAAACGGCAGCAATCACAAAACCAAGTGAGACGGCCCAGAGAACAATGAAAATGAAAATGATATAGAAATATCCGCAGGCTTCAGAGCTTGGGTTCATTCCAGCAGTCCAGTAGAAACAGAACATAAAGAAGGCTGCAAAGACCAGTATATAAGGAATCTCTACCAATATGGTAGAAACAGTCCATGGGAACCAACTATAGTAGCGGGAGGCATATTCACGACGGAAGAACAATCGCTCGGTCATAAACTTAGGCTGAGCAAGAATAATAAGAGTCATGGCCATAATAAAGGTACTGAATAAAGCGAAGATCTTGTATTGCAGGTCAGAAGAAGAGGATCCAAGTTTCCAGTAGGTAAATCCGTTGATCAAAGCAGTAACGACAATATTCAAGAAACGTCCAAAGTTATAATCGGGTGAGCGCCAGTAAGCCAGGTTCATTCTGCCGAGTACCAGCTTGAATTGATTCCAGTAAGAAGAGGCATATGTGCGAGGCTTGCGGGTAGGGTGCTTGTCAGCCGCGTTTCTGATTTCTGCAAGTTCAGCATCAAGTGCGTTAGATTCCTTGGATCCGGCCCAGATTTCAGCCCAGTCACGGGAAGCCTTTCCAGAAGTACCAGCACCAACAACCTCGAGAATGTACTCGGCAGGATTGGATTCAGGATGACAGGAAGGACCGCCATTAGATTCAAAGTAGTCGATCATTATGCGAGCATCAGGACCGATTTCACCATAATAAGCGGTCTTTCCACCACGGACAAGCAGCAGTAGGTGATCGAAATGGCTAAAGAGAATTGCCGAAGGTTGATGGATTGTGCAAAGAACGGGCCAGCCAGCATCAGCGAGCTTGCGAATGAAACGAATAATATTGAACGAACTTTGGGCATCGAGACCGGAAGTAGGCTCATCCAAGAACAGTAGCTTTGGTTTACCGACCAATTCCATACCAATTGTAAGACGCTTGCGTTCTTCGACAGAGATACCAACACCTTGGTCAACCATACCAATCTGAGCATCCGAAATATCTTCCATCTCAAGTAATTGGATAATCTTCTCGACATATTCATCTTTTTCGGATCTAGGTACAGATTCATCTTGGCGGAGATAGGCAGAGAAACGAAGAGCTTCGCGGACTGTCACAGCTGGCTGATGAATATCCATTTGTTCACAGTAGCCAGTAATACGCTCGAAATCACTCATGAGAGCTTCACCATTGAGATAGACTTCTCCTTCAACAACACCAGTAGTCTTACGAAGAGCGAGAACATCCAAGAGAGTGGTCTTTCCTGCACCAGAAGATCCCATAAGAGCAGTGAGATGGCCGGGTCTAACGATACCGTTGATACCAGTGAGAAGCTGAAGGTTACCGCCCTTGACAGGAACAGTGTAATTGACATTCTGCCACGAGAAAGTAGTACCAGTGGAGATGCTGTCCATTTCATCGGTGATCTGGGCGAGACGTTTGCGACGCTCGTTTTCTTCCTCATCAGTACGGGGCTTTGGAGCCTTTCCGGGGACGTAGAATTTGATAGTATTTCCACCATTGCTAGAGTCAACGTATTCCATAGCAAGAGCACACATTGCAGAAAACACCAAGAAATAAGCGACAACGACGATAAAATCAGGTGCCCAGGCTTCCGAGACTTTGTATGTCAGACCCTGGAGAAGATAAGCTTCACCCTTGACAAAACTTTCGCCAGGAACACCTCCAGCCATGGTACAGATCTTGTAGTCCCAGTTATCATATCCAGGCCCATAAGGAACTGAGTTTCCAGGAGCATCACATGTATATTCTTGTCCGTTCATTTCATTAATCAATAGAGCCTTGTATGCATAAGAAATTGGGTTAACCCAGTAAATCCAGTAAAGCCAAGGGTGCATTTTTGGATATGGAATATCTATTCAATTAAAGATTGTTGAGCCTTCAAAACTTACAGTATATATAAGCATGCATTTGTTTACTTACTATAACCAACGTAAGAGACCACGGAGACCAAAAGTACACTAGAAACCTGAGTGGCAACAAAGAAACTACTAGTCAAGGCTCCAAACAGACGGAACAGTCCATTCATAGACATATTGATGAAGAATAAAATGATGAAGAAAGTAAAGAACTTTCCAGCCGTCAAGTTAAAGCCAGACATAAAGTAAGAGCACACAGCGTATAAAGCGACTATATGATAATAAGAACAAACAAATAATGTTATTAGACTCTTTCTTTTCTTCTTCTTTTTTTTTGCTTACCTTGAGCAAGAGCATAGGGAACATCCATAACCATCTGGGCGACATAAAATGCAGACGGATGAAAAAGAGCATATTGCTTATGTTTTTCCAAAACAGGTCTGCCCATTAGGAAATTCACAAGTTCACTTTGAGAAATAAAGGCGTTGAAGAGGATAGCAAAGAAAAGGGCACCTCCACGAGAGAAGGCACCGATACCAGTTAAGGGAAGGTTGTAGAAGCAAGACGATGTGATAAGAGACTGAATAAGAATTGTACCGTAGCGAGAAATAAGTGCTGGTTTATCTTTGATAAGTAAATAGTATTGGCGGATCAGAAGAGCTCTGACTTGCTGGTAAAATGATGCAATATAAGGTTCTTTTGATGGAGCGCGTTTCTGATGTTCTTCGTTCATTGCCTGTTTGAAATTATCTGCCTGGTTGCCAGCCTTAAATGTACTCTCATAGTCTTCTAAATCGTTCATCATCGATTTGTAAATGTCAGATGCCAAATAAATTTCTTGGAATTCATGTGCAAACTGTGGAACTCTGTTTTCGTATCCAGGTTGAAACTCTCTCTCCAATGGATTACAGATACCGGTCAAAAAGTCTGGTGTGGATTTGCGAAGAGGACAAAAGAAACCCATTTTTTCAAAGTAGGGCTTGGCTTTGCTAACAGGTCCAAAGTAAAGGCAATAGCCCTCGTCAAGAAGAATGACGTTATCAAATAGGGTAAAGATACTGTTGGAGGCTTGGTAAAGAGTTGCCACGGTAGTTTTTTTGAGAATATCCGTCATGATACGAAGAGAACGAACGAAATCGAGAGCAGATGCGGCATCGAGACCACGAGTGGAGCAATCCCAGCAATTGATTGAACTAGATGTTGTCATTTGCTCTGCAATCGAGAGACGCTTACGCTCTCCACCAGAGAGACCACGGACGAAGGCATTACCGACCATGGTGTCCATCTGCTTGGTCAGACCGAGCATGTTTCCGAGCATGTAAAGAACACGGTTCACAAAGTCATGTCTAGTTTCGTCAGGAAGTCGAGATCCGGGAGTCTTTGTTCGTAAAGCAAATTGAAGAGTCTGCTTGGCAGTGAGAGTGGGATAGTGTTGATCTTCTTCTTCGTTGTAGCATACTTGACCACGATAATGTGTCGCAAATGTCTTAGGGTCAATACCTCCGTATGATAAGTCGCCTTCAATGCTTGTATAGGACCCACGCATATTAGATATGATCTTGAGAAGGGTGGTACAACCAGCTCCCGGGCGCCCAAGGACGAGCAGCATCTGACCGTCTTTACAGAAACCGGTACTGTTGCGGAGAATGGTCTTTTGAGGAACGTCTTGTTTTTTTATGAGCAGTTTCATCATTTTGAATATAGACAACGGGAGACTTGCGACAGTTGAAATGGTATGGGCTTCAGCAGCAACACCCTAGTTAATTTTTTTAAAAAAAGAAAGCCAAAAGTATATATAAATATAAAGTGTATATGTATAATCAGGATGGTGTTTTCTGTAAAGATAATCAATTTACCTTCACAGTAAGATTTTTCCAGGAAACACCAATATGCTTTTTAGTGTGGCCAGCCTTGGATGAATCCGAGGAAACACCATGTAAGAAATCATCTAAGTTGAAATCGTCTGCTGGTGCATTGCCTTCTTCTAATTTACTGGAATTGGTTGCTTTGCGACTGAGTGTAGTTAATTCGCGTTTAAGGGTCTCATATTCATCGATAGCACCTACAAATTATACGGTTAATATATAAACATATATATAGTTGTATGAATGTGTGTATTCTTATTTATGCATTTATGTTTATATACCTTCAATGTTTACTGTATTCACTTCAGTCTCTCCATAGTTTCCTTGGGAGCCCACAGCGTTATCGATAATAGTATCCACTGAGTTGGAGTAGGAGTATTGGCCGGCATAATTCTTTCTTTGATTTAGTGGCACCGAGCCCATATCGTATTTCTCTTCCATCTCTTAGTAACAAATCAGAGACAAATAGGCCTGGATACGTTGCAAGAAAAATATAGAAATGATAGAAGGACAGAGATGAAGAAAGATGCTTTTTAAAAGGACCTTTTTGTAATGTTTAATCGTCCTTTATACACACACACACACAAGTACACAAGTACGCGCACGTTGCTTGTGACATATCTGAACACATTTTTTTTATCATTTTTTTTTGCACTTGTATTTTCTTATTTGGCCACTTTGAGCGGGATAATAAATGCCGTTGCCGACCTAATGAAAAAAGTCGTGTGCTAATTTTTTTCTTTCCCTATAGAGATTGCCTGTGGTTAATTTTTTACCGTATATCAAATTAAATCTATTCAGTTTAAATGGCATGCTACTTTATACGTATTAAATTACTTATTCCTCAAATACGTAGATTTCTAATGTTTTATATAGAAAAAAAGGTAATATTGCTTCGGGATAATAACAATAAAAAAAAATGAATATATATATAGCGGAATTCACCTGTTCAGTAAAATCCACCAATGAAGGAAGCTGGGAGTAGAAAGCCGGTCTTTAGAAGTGTACAACTTACATCAATATACGGTGGCCGTGCTTACCGTACGGTAATCAACCTAATCATATACCAAGACTATGCCGCAATCGAAGATGATTAGTATGGCAGAAGGGAATATCTATTGCCACCAACATTACATTACCACAAATACATAATATAGATCTACAGAACAGATATCATTTCCGCAAGCGTGCGTATGTTTTCTAATAAGGATAATTTGTCGTAGAAATTACACAGCACTCAATACATAAAGTGTAATGTGCCCTTATGTATATAGATATATAGATAGATATATAGATAGATATCAAAATTACAATAGTCCTTTGACATTTTAATATATTATGTATCCAGAATACCAATTCGTGTACGATGAATTACACTATGAATTGGGATATATAGGTCAATCTATTTGAGTAGTCCACATTAAAATCCCACACACACACTTATATATTTATATACCCACATGCATGAATATGTACATACGTAAGAAGCTCATTCATATTCTTTAACTGTCAAACCATTAAAAGATAGCTATATTTGATACAGATATATATATATATGTGTATGTGTGTGTGTGTGTGTATGTGCTTGTGATATTATTCTGTAGTAAAACATTAAATATATTTCATACATTAATAAAATACAGATATTCAAAAGTGTATCCAATCAAGATGCTCATAATGCACTTATATTACTGCTATTTTAGATTATGTTAACTGTGTGCTACACCATTTGATCTTTTGTAACATACAGTTTGAGTAAAGGAAATCGGCAGTCAAATTCAGCAAGAAGATAAAATAGTAAAGCATTGTACGCATTTAATTTCTAATGTTTATTACACTCCATTGTCACTGGTGGTGGTGCTGTTGATATCTACAACAAAGTTTGTCTGCTCTTTTTCTCTTTTAGATTTATTAGTGTATAGAATTGGACAAATCAAGATGAGTCATGCTTGGTTGCCACCTAATTGATATACAAAGTTTAAGCTGTTCTGATACTTCTATAAAGACAATAAAAACTCACAGGGTATAAAGAGTATAAAAGTAAATCAAAATTTGAACAATGAATGTCAATAAAAGCACAGGTAAAAATTCTGTGCAAATTCAATTCTTAAATTGTTTATTTTATAACGTGTTTGTGTTTTAAAGAGCTGTCCGATAGATATGAAAGGTCATGATACAGTGCCACACCATTGCAATTAAAAAAAGGATTGTTGGCTCTTTTGGAGCCGGAATAGTATAACCATCAATAGATAATAAAGAATAACAAAAATATCTCTTTTTTTTAAAAAAATAAATAAATAAATAAATAAATAAAAGCTTGTGCCCGCGTTCAAAAATAAAAATAGATGGAATTTAAAGAGGTCTATCGCCAATCGGAAATACCGTTCCCTTGTTCCTGTTGAAAACAAAGTTTGTCAACGCATGTGTAACTCAAAGCCTGTTCGTTTTTTCTTGGAAAGCGGCGGAATGTTAATACCTGCCACTTCCTATAGTACAATCCACCTATTTTGACTTTAAGTTTAGTAGAACAAAGATCCAACAAGAAAAGTTTGTGGCAGCAAAACAACACTTTTTTGGGAGAATAATTTCTCTATCTTTTGTTTTTTAAAGAAATAAAACAAACAAATGAATAGAAAAGACAGTTAATTGGTCTCCACCTTTCATTTTAACAAACCCAAATTGTCGATGAAACGCTTAGAGACCTTTGTGAGGCTATGCATATATTAAAGAACCAGACAAATGAATCTAAAGGTAAATATATATCACAAAAGCCCTACATCATTTATATCATGTACTACAAAAAGAAATCATCGTATTTGCTTTTGGTTCGTCGGTTCGTCGGTTAGTTGCTTACTTTCTATTGCAGATGCGAGACAGAATATCTTTATATCTTATCTTTAGTCTTTTATTGTTCTTGTTAGCATTGTAGAGTTATAGAACTAGTTGACGTTTTTTTTTTGGTCTTTATAGCCTACCTTATCTACGAAGTGACTCAGACTAATTCATAAGATATATGTACTTCAGAACCAAATGAGATCCGGACCACTTGATCTCTACGAAAAACCAAAAGGTTATTTTATAAAAGATATCTAACACAATTATTAGGTACTATTTTGTAAATAATGTTACCGGGAACTGTAATCCCCTCTTCTTGGGTATCCCCAAGTAAATATTATATTTAACTTTTCTTCTTTTGATTTTGATTTTGATTTTTTTTGTAGCTCATGCCGAACTGGGCGAGAAAGTCAAAGAAGACGTGTAGAAGAAATCAAAGTGTTTTGTTTTTTGGTACATCAGTAGGTTAGAGAGTATAAAAGGAAGACAATGAGACGAAAATTTCTACAACATAAGCCAAGAACAACTTTATTCAGAGTTTCATCTATTTATTTATTACAGGAAATCAAACTATTGGTTGGTTCAATAAAAAACTACCTTTCTTTAGATTTATATAGATATATATATATTTTCAACCTACAAGATAAACGTTAAATATCCTATATTGTTTACAGCAATCATATTAAAATTGCTTTTAACTTTCAAATATTCTATACTATGTGGATAATGCTTGTAGCTGTTTACAGGTTTATCAACTCACAACCGTGAAAACCATAGCAATTAAGTATGATCCAGACACACAACACACATACACAAATCCAGGAATTGGATAATCCAAAATGATATCTACAAAAGCCTAAAGCCCCCCACACTCTCCTGTACATGGTCTAAAACTATAGCCGAATCATATTCGAAAGAAATATAAATGCAATAAAGGGTCTAAATAAACTTGCATTCCTGAACTTGAAAAATAAAATAAAAACTCAATAAAAACCCATAGCTACAAAACGCAGTCACGAAAACAAAGCAGTAAAGATCCCAAAAATAATAATAGAATATATATATAGATCCAATTCAATTCAATTCAATTCAATTCATTTAGCACGCAGGAACACTACTCATCATTTTTCAGGTCCAAGTAAACTAAACTTCTTTCTCTTCAAATATGTAAGTATAATTAATGCAGCAAACACTTCTGTAACTTTCTAAAAAAAGAAACTAATACCCAAATAAATATCCATATATATAAATATGCAAATATGTTTCTCATCTTCTTCCTATTTTGTTGTACTATTTTTTTTTATTCTTTAATGCTGTCGGTAAAAAAAATTGGCTTATCTCTCCTTCATTTTCTTTCTTTATCTCTTTATAAAGTAAAAGGAAGAAAACGGATGTATGAGTGAGTGAGTAAGTAGGTTGGGTGGGCGGGTGAAATTTGGGTGAGAGTTGGTGAATGAGGTGATTGCGAGTGTTTCTTGCTTTGGCTTTTTTTTTGTGTGTGTGAAATATCCTTCCTTCCTTTTTATATATATAATATATATATAAATATATATCAATGTGTATGTATGTGTATGTATATAGAGTTCTTCTACTCGTCCATCTCCATCTTCTCGGTGTTCTTCTCGCTGAGCTTCATGGCCTGGATACGCTTCTTGGCATCCAAAGGAGCCAATTCAATATTCTGCTGTACAACACGGACATCCTCTGCTCTGTCCTTCTCCTTGTTGTCAGCCATGCGAGTCTTGTAGAATGCACGTTCACGCTTAACACGAATCTCCTGGACACGCTTCATGGCCTTGATGGTAGTGGCCATCAAGTTACGATCGTAACGGACAGGTACATTGCGACGCTTCTCGAACTCAAAGGTAGAATCCTATAAATGTAAAGATATATTTATGAGTTTAATGTTTTGGTTGCCAGCAAATCTTTCACATTCATTCATTCATTTACTGATTCTCTCTGTTTTTATAAAAACACAAAGCGATCACTAAGAATCACACTTACGATGACCATCTCCTTGCCACTAGCCTTACGGAAGGCCTTGGTCCAGCGGACCTTACGGGGGTTACGCTTCATCTTAAAGTTCTTGTGGCACTTGGAACGACAGAATCTGAAGGTCTAGATCGATTACAGTTTACAATTGTGATGAGTTTGATGTTTGTATAAATGTATAAGAATATAGTTTTTGTTATAATGATCTTGAAATGTATATAACAAATTGTACAAATTGTATATGATGCCCATATAAAATAATACAAATAAAAGCGGATCTAGTGAGATCAATGTAATTACCTTGCTGTCGTTACGGACAAACATAGTGCCATGGCCAGGGTAACAAGGCCCGGAGCAGAAGTAACAACGTTCAATATGCATCGATTAATAGAGATTAGGAGAGGAGGGTAGAAGAAAGAAAGAAAAAAAAGGAAGTGGAGTTTGTGAGGCTAAAAAAAAAACTTGCAACCCCTATCATTTTCTCTCTCCATTTCTTTTTCTATACCATTTTAGATTTGACAAGTAGAACAGAAAAAAAAATCACCCACTCAGCCACTCAATACATGACTTGTTTGTAAAAGTAGCGGATATTAAATATCCAATATGCACATATATTTCACTGTTGCTGAATTGCATACTAGGATTATTTATTTATTTGAACAATACAAATCATCAAGTTGATTTACATTATTAATTAGCCTTTTACGAATCAAAACAACTTAATGAATAAAAGGTTTGTAATATTTTTTTTCTTAAAGGAAAAAGATTGCTTTTAAAAAAATGAATAAACACACATATATATAAATATACAAGTCCCAAATCTACTCTTTTCAATTGTCTTCATCTAACACACATCAACCAATGAGCATTGACATTAATTGTGTTGAGGTGGACAAGGCGCGAAAGGAATTAGATGCCTTTAAGCAGCGCCATCATCAACAAAATCACGAACTTGTTCAATTCAACATCGCCTATGCTCTCAAAATACAGACTCTTTCAAAGGAATTACGTGATTTGCGCCATGAAAATATTTCCCTTCGGATTAGTTTAATTCATCTAAAACAAAATACACCTACACCTACACCTACACCTACAGAAACCACAACAACAAAAGATTCATTGAAAAGAGAATTAATTCGCCCTAGTAACTGTCAGTGCCAGTGTCAATGCAAACAAAAAAAGCACGATACCCAAAACATCGACACCCAAGTCCCTATATGTGACTCTCCAACTCAGGAAGACCAGCATCAAAAAGTTGACGAGCCAACTGAATTTTTTGCTGACAGTCCAGGAACACTTGATATATGTACTCAAGAAATCGGTCGATCTAAACGATCTACGCTGAGAAAATGCTACACCATGCCTAGTGTAAAATCTAAACTTCGTAAAGGAGATCCTTTTACATTTGGCAACAAACTTCAAACCAATAAGTAGGCCAAATGATGTGCGTGTGGAGAGAGAAAAAAGGATGATTATCATAAATACAAATAGGGTTCTGTTTGTGAGTTAAAAAAGAGTTGGGATATATTGCTTTTGTGATTTCTAAACACCAAAAGTAAAGCAAAAAAGTAATTTAGATCCAACTTCTTGAGATCTATGTTAATGCTGATATTGTACTCAATGTCGTAATTCTTTTTTTTTTAGGTTTGTTTAATTAAATCAACAAGGTTACTTTATTATACATATATATGTGTGCGTGTGTGTGCTAGATAGTGTGAATGAATCGTGTACAATAGAAAAATAAAACAAAATAAAATAAAAAAAGAATCATAACCATAGTCATAATAATCAATGCCTTGTCAGCATCATATCCACTTGGTGTTCAAGTTTCGCGCGTTCATAGTCAGTCACACCTCTTGTGCGTTCCAAAACACCATTCAGTTCAGTCATATAGCGTTCAATTGTGTCTTCAGAAGGCGAGACTCCACCAGCCGGAGGGACATTTAGTTTGGAAAAAACCTGTGCAGTAGTCTTTCGGAATTTTCGCAAGTTATAGACTTCTTGACGAGCTGCCTTGAGTTGACTCACAAGTCTCCTGTACTCCTCGGTTGTGTGTTGCTTAGTATGTTGTGGGTCTAGAGTAGGTTCCGAGTGTTTTGTGGCCTTAGTCTGATCCGTAGATGGAAGATATGGTGGTACTTTGTGTCTCTTTTCTGGGTCAATCGAAGAAGAAGAAGAATTGGTGATGGTAGTGGTGACAGGTTCAGATGGAACAGGTACATTATTATTGTGAGTATGATTACTACTGTTGTTAGTGGTGGCGGCAGTGGCAATCAAAATATAATTAGTGATAGGTTTTTTTTAATAGCAAAAAAAAAAATAAGAAGTATACTTTGGTGCAAATGCAGGTGCAGATGTAGAAACTGTAGAAGTGGCAGTCTTTCTATTGTGTGTAGTAGTTTCACGCTGTTTGCCTTTTGATTGCTTAGGCTTTGGTATTGTTACTATAATGTGCGGTGGTCCAGCTGCATTTGCCCTACTCGATTCCGTTTGGCTTACATTTGATAATACTCCACCATGCTTCTGACTTTTGTGTTTTATAGACGCCAGTGAGTGTTTTCCATGAAATTTGTTTAGCGGGATTGCAGCTGGTAAGGTTTCGAACAAAGGCATTTCTGAACTTTCACGAGCCCTGTGACTAATTTCACTCGATGGACTATATGGACTGGATAAATTGGATGAGCTGGGTGAGCTTGGTGAACTGGGAGAATAGAATGTCCCCGAATTGCCATTTCCATTTTTTGATTCACTTATGCCTCGTAGGCGCTTATTTTGAGAAGTTTCGGATGAGCCTTCTCTGGGTCGAGATGTGCCTGCTGGGTTCTTGAAGTCTTCCATTTTAATCGATGCGCTGCTATTATCGATAAAATTTTGTAATGCGTTTTCATCATCACTAATGTCTTCTATGACCAGTACTTTGCGGTGATCTTTGCAAAATGCAACGGGTTTAGTCTCTAGTATTCCGTTGAGATGGATAATACCAGCTTTAATAGCACAAGTAACATGAAAACGTCTAATTGAAGTAATGATAATGGTGACGATAAAGATTTTGATATTGAAAATAAAAGTTAATAAAAGAAAGCAATTGATATATGTAGCTGTATTTAATTTACTTACTTATCACATCCATGCTCTTCACATTTTGTACATAGCCCATCACTTTTTTTACAAACAATGCACTTCTTTAATAAGGCATGAACAAGCACGAATATAGTAAGTTTTTTCAAAGATAATGATAAAACTGCTAATAGATATATATATATATATATATATATATGTAAGCTTTTTTTTTAAAAAAAAATCGATACTTACATGAGTATTGGTCTTGGATAAATTAAAAGTGTAGGGTTCGACTTTGCGTGGAATCTCTTTGTTCCACATGGCGCAAACTACATGCATATATGAATTTCTGAAAATAGTTCGTTTCAAAGCACCCTCTTGAGAAGAGCAGCAGATGATTCTCTAAAGGAGAGTACATGGTAAGAATCAGAACAAACCCAAATAAACGATAATGCACTTACTGTTTTGTCGACAGGTATACCATCTTCACATCTTTGGCAGAACCAATCTCCTTCTGGAATCACTTCGACACCATAGCAACCTATCCACACGCACGCACACACACACATATATATATATATATATATATAGATATAGATATAGATATATATGTATTTATGTACATAATAATTCAAAGGCTCAATTAATTCTTTTTGTATTAACAATAATGTCGATAGTAGATGATTAGCGTACTCTGATGTACAGGTATATCACATCCTATGAATAAGCAAGAGAGAAATAATTATAAGTATTTGTATCTTCGCTCTTTCTCCCTCTCATTCTATTTTACCATCGCCGTCACAGTATATAATCTGATCCTTTCGACTGGATCTTGCCCCGTAGCAAACAGCACAAACATCCTACAACCACAAAATGTATAAATTGGTGTTTCAAAATATTATTAAGGTTAACATTAATATAAAATAATATAAATAATAGATCCAATTGAATTAAATCAACTAAGGTTGGGGAAATTATGTTCATCTACATATAAATACATATATATGTATACATGTGTGTGTGTGCGTATGAAAAGGATCCATAGTAAATAATAGAAATATCATTCACCTCTTTTACTGACATTGCGGAGAGTTTTTCCTTTCTTGTTTCTCTTTTGTCTTAATATTTCACAGCTTATTTTTTTTTAGTTTTTTTGATTTATGCAAGACAAGACAATACAATGCAATACACTATAATCAGAACCGGGCTTCTTCTAAATTAATTAAAGTAAATCATATATACACACACAAACAGACAGAGAGACAGAGAGACAGACAGAGAGACAGACAGAGAGACAGACAGAGACAGACAGACAGACAGACAGACAGACAGACAGACAGACAGACAGAGAGACAGACAGACAGACAGAGAGACAGAGAGACAGACAGACAGAGAGAGAGGGCACAGAATTATCATTAATAATAAAAACAAAAACAAATTAATATTTGATACATAAATATATACGTTTGTGTGTATTTCAATTGATATCTAGGACCCTTCTTTTTCTTGTCTTTTCTTTCCCCCTTTCTTTCCTCCTCTCTTTTAACCCTTCTATATATTTCCTTGGCACTGTAAATAGAAAAATAGAAACACACATGGCGTATAACAAACCTGATGTAGGATGGTTTATATGTATCTTATATATATAAATATAAATCAATTTGAAACTTGATGTTATTTTCTATAAAGAGTATTATATGGCTATTCGTTTTTTTTTTAAAAAAAAAGAAAAATTGCTATATTTCAAGTATGCGTATTGTCGGTAGGTGTAATTTGTGGTTGGTGTTGGTGTATAGATCCGCGCGCAGGAGAGTATTTTCAAAAACACAAAAAAAAATTGCGAGAGATATATAAAGGTTTGGCTTCTATTTAAATAACTAATAAATAGTATGCTCTGTTGCTGGCAAAACTATATTCTTCAATATAATGAATGCCGTGTGGTTGCTATTATATCGACAGTGACAGAATATAAAACTACTATACGAGATTCTTATCATTACTTTCTGTTGATTTATTTGATTTTTTTTTGTTCGCTGTTGTAGTTGTTGCCTTGAACAAGTAAAGTAAAATGAAGTAGAAAGAGAAGAAGAAAGGAAAACAACAAGGGCATCATTTGTGCGCCAGTAATATTTTATTTTATTTTATTGATTGTGTGGTACACAGTTTTGCTCTTTTACGTCCGAAATATTGTGACAGCTGTTTTGCTGTCCGAAACCAAGCATCTTCACTCTAACCCAGTGCTGCTATCTACAGCACAGTTTCCATGTCAAACTCAGGCGACGTTACTTTTTTTTTTGGGCGAATCAAAATTACAATTCAGACAGCCTACTTACCTTTTTTGGACAAAAGAAAAAAAAAACTGACAGACAGACAGAAATCAAGATTTTGGATTAAGCAAAAGCAATTATTAGATGTTACTTGTAAAGATCCAAATCCTTTGGCCCAAGCCAAAATGAACTGTATATAAGACATCAGTTTAATTCTGCAAAAAACGACCGAAAAGAAGAAGACTTCTATCGTTACGCAGCAAGTTGGCAGAATTGTTATAAATATTCGCTGCCACATTCAAATCATTTGACCATGGTCTTTATACAACTTCCATCTTCCATCGATTTTTATTTGGGGTTTCTACTACTTAAAAGCTCTTGCAAGTTATGTATATATATGTATTGGTCGATGAGTTAATTTAGTAACGAGCATAATAATATGGAGCTATTATTATTGCGTTTGAAAGAATCATCTTTGTTTTCTTCGAATAATATCGTTAAGCATATTAATTCTATTTTCAAAGTTAAATACAATAGAAATAAGGGGAAATTATGAGAAGAATAATGCTCTATCACACTTTAAGAAGAGATGACAGCCAACTACTACACCCACTGTTTCGATTTTTCACTTCGAGGTCATACATTACTAAAAACAAATTACCATTATTGTATTGTCATTTTAGACAGACCAAAAGCAGTTTCCAAATGTTCTTTTTCTATTTATTTACTTTTGAAAGAAGCAAAGATGAAATCCAACGTCAAGAATATATATAAATTCGTTTTCAGATTAATTAAATTAAGAAATATATGTGTACATATGTATCGATCCTATGTGTCTGCGATAAATCTTAAAGTCCAAAGAAAAATCATGTTTAGTACAACGTCTTGATATATATATATAGAGGCAGTAATTAGACTGCCAAGTTTTATGATTTTTTTGTAGAGAAGTACACCGCCACACATTTTGAAGACAATCGCAAGTATTGTGTATATTTTTATACTTTAGGTTAAATCAAATATCTTATATATCACTATTCAAAACCAAAACCTACATTATTGAAAACTTATTTTATTGTAAGTACCAGATAGAAAACACAGCTACCCTAGTTCGATATTCCTTTAAATCGACAACGTATTTTCTTAATATTTCTATTTTAGAAGAAAAGGAAGCAAACCCGATCAGGGGGACATTTTTCTATTTCTTTATTAAATATCCTGGCCTTGTTACTTGTCATGTCTACATAAAAAAGAGTCAAGGTATCAACTGGAGAGTATTAACATTAATTCGTTCGTATGTTTTTTCATTAATGTCTTTGGCATACCATGTTTCTTGTTTTATCCATATAAGCCTATAATATGATGTCTCTCCTTCGTTGAATAACATGTCACTTGATTTTGCCCGATATATATGCTCGAATATTACTGTGAAAACACTTTTTTTTCTCTGATTTATGTCGCCCGGATTCGATAAAGCTTAAGTTTGTATTGTTTTCACCTTTTCTAAATAGTGCTCTTTTTCGTATTCCATAATACTAAATGTATGATATTATATTTCTCTCAAATGTTTCGTAGAATCTTGCAAGAGCTGCGAGTTTAGGGATTAATTCATAGGATTTTTTTTTGCAGAAACATTTTACGAGTGCTTTGTAGGCTTTCACTACGTTGTTGCCAGTTTGACCATAAAGCTTGAGTTTGATATATTTGTTGGTAATGAAACCTTTTAAACAATTTGTTAATACTTCATTTCGATACATTATTTACTAATCTATATAAGCACGAATAAAGTATAATGCTATTATTTATACTTACTACAGTCAGCACTCGATTAGGTGATACATGGTAGGAAAAGGAAAATTATATCACTATACGCATCCATTTACACTGAAATATGTAAGCGTAAACACCAATAATAATATGTCTATCATAATAAAGAATAATGTTAAAATGTACAATTATATATATCTGAATAAAAGGATACTTATTATGGTTATTTTCTTTAAAATCGGATTTCTTTCTTTCTTTCTTATACGGTTTAGATATTAACATATTAGTGCTTGGAGAAAAAAGCTACTATTCTTATACACTTGTATTTCGGTACACTCTGTGGTATACACACCAGATACACATACACTACACAATAATATAGTGTAAACCAACCATTGCACAACATATATATGAATTACAAGGGATTTGAATATTAACATGTATAAGCAATATTATTCAACTCTAGTAAATAAAACTCTCGTACTATCTACTTTTTATTATATTGAGATATTAACCAATAAGTAATCCCAAGTACCTCACATTAAATAAAGAAGTAATATAATCGGCTAAATGAAAATTTCGCATTTATATGTAAAATCCTTTTAAGCACACTTAGTAACCTCGCCAACATAAGCAGTGTATATACGATTAAGCTATCATGAGTTTAAAATGATCCATAAACTCGAAGAGTTACAATATCATCGCTTCCAGACACACTGTGATGGGAAAATTGGAAGACATTCAAGCAAATAACGTCTCACAGTAACAGAAAGCGAATAACAGCTATTTATTTACTAGCTAGAAATTTTTGTCAGAAATGTTCATGTCTTAGAACGAATTTAAAGCAACGAACAGTTCACTCACCAAGAATCTATGTACAATTAGAACAGTGGATTTTGTCCCTGAGAAAATTGAATGTCCATAACCAAAAAAAATGTCATTTTCTAAAAAATACTTCTGGCTTGCAAAATAAAAAAGCCCGCAACTAAAGTGAAAATTCCAGGACGGATGATCGTTTGGATTGTGTAAATTATATAATCGATTGTTGGACATAAACTTTCCCTTTGAACGCGGAGGGGTTAAGGGCAAGAGAGTTAATTATTTTGGACTAGGTCAGAGAGGAGAGAGTACTGCCTTTATGTTTGGGGATAACATAATGGTTTTACTCAGCTCATTAATAAATAAGAGTATTATATGAAAGCAAGGGCTTGTTTGATTAACTTATTTATTTTACAGAATTTATACTTATAAAGCGCTCATAGCTGAGTGACAGGGTTAACCTATTCATCGTTAAGCTTCAGCAGGGTTACAGTCGGCTCAAGTTCTTTGTAGTAACCGCTGTAAAGATACGGCTTTTCAACATCAGAAAGTGAAGCAATACTTTTGACTATAATCTTCTAATAATATTAAAGGTCCAAGCCAACCTATTTCCACCTTAACTACATTCTTTTTTCTCTTTAACTTGTAACAGCCCAAATATTCTAATGAAAGTGACATATGGTTAAAGGTTTTATGGAAAGTAGGAAGAATCAGATTTTTCAAATGTCGAAAGGTATATCTTTCTTGAATTAAAACCTTTTCCACTGCTTGCTGCTGTTGATTGGTAAGGCTTATATTCACGGACATAATATTCAATGTCGCTGCCTATTTGTAAAGTTGTCAATAAAAGGCAAACTTATATACTAGAAAAAAAAATCCAGAATTCACTTGCAACAATGATGGCAAAGGTTATGAGCCCCTTTTCACTCTTTGCAACTCAAAGCCGTTTATGGAACACTTTTTTGCTTATTCCTGCTCATCAAACTCTATCTTCTTCTACTATTTTGGAGGTTTTGTATGGTTTGATTTCTACAACACCAACCTCAATGCTATCGATTGTCATGAATTTAGCATTGGTAGTCTTCTTTGTATTTCCATATTTGATTTTTCAAAAATGTTTAGAGGGGAGTCACTGCAAAAAAAAATAGTTTTCTACCGATGAGAGCAATGCCTTACACGACAATAACATAGCCAGCAACATAACAGCTTACCAATACACAACTAGTTTATCATTCACATCAAACGCAGCATTTACAAATAGAACTACAAATTTAATTTTGAAGTCGTCCTCCTTGTTTTTTACAATAGTTTTAGGAGATGACGTTTTTGATTGGGGAAGGACATTTCCTGGTGGAAGACAACATCTAATTCTACCAAACCACAAATTGTAACTTTTTTGCTGTCAATGAGTAATCATGTGCGATCTCTAAGGATCAATTCATATTAAAATAGTTAATACAAAGCCTGTATACAGAATGTTCGTATCGAGGTTTTCTTTTGTGCTGTGAAAAAATAAAATGGCGAGTGGGGATTAATTGTCAGTTGGTGAGAGAAAATCAAAGGCATGCTACGCGTAAGCAGACCAATACATGGTAAAATATCAAGCAAGATTGCGTCACACTTTAGTGACAACATATCCTTATAATCTTCTGCATAACTGGGTATTGATATAGTGTATGTGTGACTAATTATTTCTTTATGGACAAGTCTAAATTCAGAGCTACTAATTTAATATACAGGATTTGATTTTTACATAAGACATCATTTTATTATTAAATCGCCCAAAGGAAGTCTGTATCTCTTAAAAGAATGAGAGTAAAGTCTCTGGGAAAAGATAGATGAGCACACAAAGTATGAAGACAAAGTAGTAAAACTAATGTATACAATGAATATACTGTGTTTCTTTTTCGGGGCACGTCATTTTACCCTGAAGGATTAGAGAAAGACACCAGACCCCAGACAGGTGGTCACGGTTGATTCGCCCGGTTAGATAGAAACATTGTTCCAGTAAGATTGTTGATCATTTTTGAGTCAGTACCATTTTTTTTTTGGTTATGAACATTCGATTTTCTCAACGTAACAAAATTTACCGTTCTCACAGTATTACCACTGAGCAACTAGAGTTGATCCAGAGCCAACACCAGCCTTTATCAGTACCAACACCCTTCCCTTTACAGAGATTGAATCTGCTAAGTATACCCTATAAGTAGCCATAGCTTACATTTCTACTACTACACTAACATACACATCCACCATATTCCTGTCGACCGTCACTGAGTCAAGTACTCACATACACAACGTCTTTTGAAAACACCTAAGATACTCCAGACATATACCCTGGTCATTGTATTGCCAGCATGCGATGCACTCTTCATACAGTTAATGTTACTAATACCACGTACCCTATGTCTCTCTTTCCTACTAGAAAAAGATGTCTTATGAGACATTTTCATGTAGTGAATAGAAACCTTATTTGCCTATCTTTCATCTGCCTCAAATAGTATTTGAAAAAAAACACACATTTTGTTTGGCTCATCAGCATGTGTAACCATCACAAAATTATAGAATAAATAAGACTGTTATTTGTTTTGTCTCTACCTTGCCTTCTTTTGCTCTTCTTTCTTTCCTTTTTGGCTCTCTTCCTTATCGTAGCCAGTCTTATCTGCTATCTTTCTCTCTTTTCTTTATTTCTCCTATTTCCTTTGCTGCAGCCCTCCACAAGTCGTCTAGATTAATATGCGTGCAAGGTAATAAATATTCCACGATAATATGTAGATATTTACCTGAGTACCCTTAGTAACTAGAAAATACATTTCTATAAAATCAATCTTCTTTCTGATAAATAATTAAAGACCTTACGCATACCACACACCTTTCGGATGGAATTCTCACGAAATATAGACATATAAAGCTGCCAGATAAATTACAAATTTAAAAGTGTTCAATTTGCTCAAATACCAAAAGAGACAGTATAGTATAAAATTAAATATATTTCTCAGAGAGGAACACAACCTATACGACACATATTGATGTACAAAGGCCTCACCAGCCACACCAGATCCACAAAATAAGATCCATCTAACAGAGATTTATAACAATAACATCTTCAGTACCTAATAGCTCTACATTAAGAAAATGTCTAGAAAGAGGCTTACTATATCATAACTATTATAGCCATTTTTATTTATTCTTTTACCTATTTAACTGACTGACCTTCCATACTGATTTTCTTGTCGCCAATTTCAACAATATAATTCTCTTACCTACACTCAATTCCGTCTTCATTTCCATTCACCTCATTGCTAAACAAGACGTCTTAATCGCTAGACATCAGAGCATCTTTATAAACTGGTAAGCAGATATGACTACACTGTTTCTATAACCGCAGATTGATGTGTTAAAATAGCTACATTCAAAATACATATATAGTTACTCTCTACCTGTATTTAAGTAGATATATTACAATAAGCATTGACCTCCATAACATTTATCTTAGCAGACAATTATATTAAGGAATTTACTTTTATGAATTACAATAAAAATAATATAATCATCATACCTATCTCGCATATGCCATCAAGCATTGCTATTTTATTATGACGCCAAGAAGTTTTTTCTTGCAACAAAGCTAATAGCTATATTGTCTCCATTATATTCAACACAACACCACTGATTATTGTAAGATTTTAGAATAGAAAACATGATTGTTATATATTATTATCAAGTTTTAAGAGACAAGAAAACAAATGTCTCATGTACTTTATTAAATCTATTACCATGTCTTTGTAATATGGAGTAATAATAAAACACCATTTTTGCTTAAGCAAAAACAGATCAATTTCGCATATGTAAAGTATACCTAAGTTCTGATAGACAGAATAGGTAAAATTGTAGTTCAGCTCACTTTTGTGAGTAAAGTATTTGAATAGTATTTTAAGCTACTCTATTGGCTACTGGCAGCTGTGTAGCATTAGAATGCAACATCAAACTCAAATAAAATAAAAGTGTGTTTTCTTTGAAGTCTTTCTTTACTATTAAATACTAATGTAAACCTTTCTTTTCATTTTAAAATGGCTCCTATTCGCAAACCAACTGTTAGAAAAGAGTGTCAATGCTCTATCTGTAAAAGCAAGACACTAGGATTCAATCATGTATCTGTTAAAACATTTAAACGTCATCAAGAAAAAGATAATCATGATATTACACATGTTCAAATGCGTACGATTAATACATTTGCTTTACTTTATTTTATTTTATTTTATATCATTTCCTTTTTTATTATTTTATATAATAATAATAATAATAATAATAATAATAATAATACTAACACTAATAATAATAAATGTGTAGCCCATGAAGACACATGGGATACAATTAGTAGTGCTGTTTCTGAGCCTGTAAATCAAGAGGAAGATAGTTTTGAATTTGAACAGGAAGATGTTGAAATGAATTCTGAGCTTAGAAGTAAGAAAACTTATTTTATTACATTGATTTATTTGGGTCTAACATTCCGCTTTTGTAGACCTAAATGACACAAATGACATTTTGGATATACGGACAAGAAACCAACCTTTCTCTGAAACGGATTGTGTGTTTGGCCCTGAAGATAATGTCCAGTTTACAAGTGACACTTACGAAGAAGAAGAAGAATATGAAGATGAATCCGATGTTGAGATGGACAATGATGAAGGTAGGTACACAGCTTTAGATAATATTATATCCTAGAAAATAGAGAGTTAATCAACGTTCTTTAAAAAAAATCAAATTAAAGATTCTTCATTGGAATCAATCTCGGAATTGAATTTGATTCACCGATTCATTGTTATTTCGGTTGCTCTTTTTGTCTCACTATACGTCGTGGATGAAGGAGCTGTAATCCTGATTGTCATAATCAACAAGATCCTGCAGTTTTTGTTTGACCCATTCCGCCTTCCCGTGAGTGTTGCTGGCCTCAAACGTTTGGCCGGATTTGAAGCGTTGACAAGTGGTGTCAAGAAGTATGTTGCATGTAGCAAATGCCATACCATATATGATAATGAAGCCGCCCCTTTGTGTTGTACATCACCCAATTTCGGTAAAACCTCCTTGTGTGGCAACAGCTTGTTTAAGTCTGGTCCCGGGTCAAAAGCACCCAAAAAGACATATGTATTCCACTCTGTCAAGAAAGCCCTAAAGACGTTTTTTCAACGCCCGGATTTTGAAAACAAGATCAACTCATGGAACCGCGGCCCGAAAATGGATAGCACTTTGTTTGACGTGTACGATGGTGCGATGTGGAATGAGATAGTAGACGTAGATGGTATACCTTTTGTTGATACCGAGCGATCACTCATGCTCACGCTGAACATTGACTGGTTTCAGTCATTCGATGGTGTTACCTACTCCTGTGGTGCCATATATCTTGCAATCAATAATCTTCCACGCAGTGAGCGGTTCAAGAAGGAGAACGTGATTCTTGTTGGGTTAATGCCAGGGCCTAAAGAAGCGAGCACTTCTGACATAAATAACTATCTGAAACCGCTTGTGGATGAGTTGATGGAGCTGTACAAAGGTATTAAGATTAAGACTCACCAATGTCCAAATGGTACTTCTATCCGAGCAGCCCTTCTCATGGTTGCCTGTGATATACCTGCTGCAAGGAAAGTATGTGGGTTCACATCCCATACAAGTACAAATGCATGCCACAAGTGTAAGCGTCAATTTTCGAGGTTGGCTGGAACGAGTTCCGTTGATTATTCTGGATTCGATTTCTCAAAGTGGCTCCTTCGCACTAAGAATGACAATCGTAAGGATGCAGAGATCTGGAGAAATGTAACCAAACCAACTGAGAGACAGCGTCTTGAAGTTGCACATGGTGTTCGCTGGTCCGAACTGCATCGTCTTCAGTACTTTGACATTGTCCGCTGCACGATCATTGATCCCATGCACAATCTTTTCTTAGGCACTGCCAAAAGAATGCTGGAGAGATGGGTTGCGGATGGATTAATCGACGATAAAAAACTCGTTGCCATGCAAAAGGCTGTTGAGAAGGTAGTGTTGCCGCCCGATTACACGTCACTTGGGACAAAGATTGCCAAGGGATTTCCCTATATGAAGGCTGATGAGTGGAAGTCTTGGTGCCTTGTGTACTCTCCTGTGGTTCTAAGGGATGTGTTGCCGTTGCCAGAGTTCAAGAACTGGATAGAGTTTGTTAACGCATGCAGATACTTCACCAAGCCTAGTGTTTCTGAAGAAGACATTGAGAAAGGACACAAATGCTTAGAAGAATTCTGTAAAGGGTGTGAGACATTGTACGACCTGGACCTTCTCTCTCCCAACATGCACCTGCATCTGCACTTACGCCAAACAATGATTGACTTTGGGCCCGTCTATGGCTATTGGCTTTTCAGCTTTGAAATGTACAATAGTGTCCTGAAAATATCAAAACCAATCGAAGAAACGGGTTCGAATCGACATTTATGAGACAGTTCATTGAAGAGTCGTGGAAGGGAGATTTTGTTCGTCGACTTCTGAAAGCTATGCATGCACTTGCATGTTTTGAAATTTTCGATAAGTTCACCAACACCAACACCAACACCAACACCTACCTCTCTCACTCTTTCTCAATTTCCAAATATCTTGAAGCTTCACAGAATCTTTCAATGACAATTCGTGGAAACGAGCCCCTGCCACCATCCGCCTTGCCATTGAAAACAAGACCATTATCATTTATGCCAAAACATGAATATGATTGTCTTGTAGGATACTATCAAGCTGCGTACAAGAATCCACAGATCTCAGGTTGCAAAGATGTAATTGATGACTCACCTTTCGTCAATGACTGGATCGAAATGGTGAAGTCCGTTGATCTTCTTGGGCAAAGCTACAAAGGGTGCATTGGCACGAATGGCCGCGGATCATACATACAAGCATATTTCACTGAACGAACTGGGTCGGAACATGCGTATGTTGGAGAGATTCAGTACCTTTTTGTTCACAATTTTAGGCCAACTGTTTCTTCTCTAACATACAGAAATCCCCATAGTAGTCAGCATGTATTTGCATTTGTCAAATGGTTCAAATCCACTTCGGACAAAACAAGAGAATTAGAAGGAGTTGAGTTGTTACAGGATGAATTCTACAAGCAAGATTTTCAAAGCATCCTGCCAGTACATCGGATTCTCCTAACAGTTGCAATAGTAGATTACAAAACTACAAAAAACGTCAACAAAAAACTCGCGATTCCTTTACCAAAAAAAATTTACTATTAATTCTCATACACACACTTACTTATATATTTATCCTCTATTATTATTATTTCCTTTAATCAATTCAATTTCAATTATTACTATTTGGCCCTACAACAGAACATAGTAAAAAAGAAAATGTTTATTCATCGTTGATTGCCCAACGAGGCAATGACTGGGACAGAGTGGCAGGAACAGAGCAAGGCAACAATGTTGCTGGATATCTGTTCATTCTTGGCTTTGTTCCCACGCCCGCATTTAACACGTGATGGGTACGATCAATGTCGTCAACCATTGTCAACAATCTGTTGAACTGTATTTATTTTTATTAGTTCTTTATTTTTCTTGTTATAAAACTTATTTATTTATTCTAAATATTATTTACCTCTTCACTTCTCCAAGTGGGGCGAGCCACATGCAAACACCGTCGTGGAAGATTGTCCACAATCTCAATATCCGACTCACCATCAGACATGGCATCCTTCTGAAAGAGTTTGAGATAGGCCTTCTCAACAGGGTTTCCAGTCTTATATCCCATTGCAGCATCAATGGCTACCCAGTTGTCCATGTATGTCGACTTGCGTCGGATAGACATCTGGTTATATAGATTGTAGCTTGAGAAAATAGTAATATACCAATTAATTTTTTATATAGTATATACAAACCTGAAGAGTACGACTGTTTGCTCTCCCCTTGCTGTTTTTCTTGGCCTTCTGCTCAGAAGACTCGTGAAAAGTACGATGACTGTGCTTGTACCTGTTCTTTATTTTATCACTTATCACCCGTGGGTGAGTACCAGCTAGACGAGTCTGGGCGCTAATGTAGCTCTTCAAGTAGTTGATAACAGCTACGTTATCGCGGTGGTTAATCTTCTCGTTCAAGTTCCACTTCTTCTTACTCTCGTTCTCAGCAACAAGAGCAGGGTCGTCAGACTCGAACTTCCAGTCCCACAACTTTTCCGCGAAGATTTCCTAAATACAGGTTGTTTAATAAGTTGTTGATACTAACATATATTAATATTAATTACCGAGATAATGACAGAAACCTCGGCATCACTGAGGGAGGTCTGGGGGACATAGGATGGCATCAGAGATGGTCCTAGACTAGCCATACAAGTCTGATTGTTGGCATAGGCAGTTGCAAAGTCTGCAAATGCCGTATGTGTCTTTCCAGACGTGTCAACAACAACGCCCATCCTGTTTTTAAAGGCTGCCATGTTGCTATTGACAGCAGCAATGTCATCCTTGACACCGTTGATATTGTTGTTTACTTTGTTAAACATTTCAACAATTTCCGCGTATCGCTGATCTTGGATAGTTGCGGATGAGAAACTGGGGGCAATTTCTCGAGGTCCAACATGGCCAGCCAAAACACGGTTTGCAGAGGTAGATATACTTGCAGATGCTTTTCCTTTTCCTTTACGGTCTGTTTTTCTGCTGCTATTGGAAGGCATTTTTTCTTTATTGTATTTTTATTAAAGTTTTATACATTAATAAATTATTAAAATAAAATAAATGTATGGGTTGAAATATATTTATTTTTGTTTAATCAAAGATATACATACAAAATAAGTTAATATAAAGTAGATTTATGAAATAGCTGAGAAAAGGAAGGGATTATATATTATTTTCTATAAAATCCTTTATAACCTTGAACAACTTCTTTAATATTCAATATAGAACTTAGTGTTACAATATAATTTCGGACTATTCATTTTATTACTATTGTATTTTACTAGAGTCAATTCTCATCTAAACTGCCTTCTGTTTTAAAGCCCACTTTTTTTTCTTCTTTTTCTTTATTTTTTTCTTATTTCTTTTTTTCCTATTTCTTTTCCGCTTTATTTACTTTTATTCTGGTTGATGTGTTTGAGTTCACACCCTGGTAAGCAATTTGTTTTTATTATTCTATTGTTATATTTATTCTTAATGTTTTTTCTTTTATTATTATTGTGGTTGCTGATAGTATTACAAGTCTTTGCCGTGTTGATTAATGGACAAGAACAAAAAGGTAAAACGTGGTTATTATGTATGTGTTTCTTTATTAATTATTTTCTTTTTCTCTCCTCAGCTCATTAGATCCTCAGCTCATCATAAAGACATACCACACTAGAAAAACATACGGGAATTACCATGTACAAAGTTAAATTATAACAATAGAAAATCTGGGGTATTTTTTCATCTCAGCTTTTTTTGTGTGTTCAAGATGAAAACACTGTTTTCCGGTTTTCTATTGGCTTGGATACAACAGGCGAAAATATTATTTATTATTATTATTATAAAGACATAACATTTCATTATAAAGACATAGTAAATTTAGTAAACGTTGTACTTGTTTCCTTTTTCTCTTAACACTTCAAAGTAAAAATAAATAAACATTATGTCCACAATTCCTGAACTCTACAACGAAAAGTGCCATTGTGCTGGATGTAGTCAGAACGATCTCGGCTATAGTTTTGTTGCCAGAAGAACTGCTCAACGTCATAACAAAAGGGCAAGACTAAATGCCATAAGATGTGAAAGGGGTACAATATTTGAATTTATTTAATTGTATTGTAATCCATGAAATAACGTGTTGTAATAGACATGTCTACCCAAAGAAATATGATGGAGGTCGATGATGAACGTAAGGTTTATTTAATTCAGATACCGTTAGATATTAACCAAGTGTTATATTCTAAATGTAGCTATCTTAACCCATCAACCCGGAGCCCTGGAAGAATCGTACACTCAGACAAACTCACCTGTTTGGGAAGGAGCTTCAATGTCTGACACTGAAGACGTTTCCGTTACTAATGACGCGATCAGCAATGGCGACAATGATGACAGTGGAAGCAACAGCAATGAAATCAGTGAAGACGAAAGCGAAGACGATGTTATTGAGCTCGACGACAATGAATTGAATAGTGAAGGTCAGTTAGTGTTAAAAATTTTTTAAAAAAAAAAGCGTTAATTTTTTTTTATAATAGACCCTTTTGCCACCCCCGATATGCCCCAGAACCCAGTGCACAGGTTCATTGCTACTTTTGTGGTGATGTTCGCTTCCCGCTATGTGGTTGACAAGGGCGCCGTTGTCTTGATCGAGTTCATCAACAAGCTTTTGACAATTTACGAGCAGGATTTCCAACTGCCCTTGAGCCTTCCTGGTCTTCAGCGCATGACAGGTTTCTCAGCCATGACCAAAGGCATAAAGAAATTTGTTGTGTGTCAGGATTGTCACAAGGTGTACGAAGAAAGTGCATCTGTCCCGTCTCATTGCGATTTCGTAAAGCTTGGTGTACGCTCGTCTTGCAACTGCCAATTGACGAAAACATCAGCATCGGGTGCTTTGGTGGCCAAGCGTTCATACTTGTACCAGTCCGTCCTTAATACTTTACGAATGTTTTTTCTTCGTCCAGGATTCGAGGATAAAATTAGACATTGGAATCACGAGCTGAAGATGGTGGATACGATGTGTGACATATACGACGGTGCCATGTGGAAGGAGCTCAAAGACAAAGATGGCGTGCAATTCACAAAGGATTCGCGTTCATTAATGTTGACTCTCAACATCGACTGGTTTCAACCTTTCGATAACGTCACGCACTCGACTGGTGCCATATACCTGGTAGTAAACAATCTGCCTCGCAATGAAAGATACAAGCCAGAGAACACACTTCTCGTAGGATTGATGCCTGGCCCGAAGGAACCCAAATCCGAAGAGATAAACCATTATCTCCGGCCTATGGTAGATGATCTGATAAGATTGTATGAGGGACTGGCAATCCCAACTTTCGAGTGTCCTAGTGGTGTCCGCGTCCGTGCCGCATTGATGATGGTGGCCTGTGACATCCCGGCAGCAAGAAAGACAAGTGGTTTCACCTCGCACAACAGTACATGCGCATGTTACAAGTGCAACAGACATTTCCCTCGCTTGGAAAACGGTGTCAATGTTGACTTTCGTGGGTTTGACTTCTCTCGGTGGGTGCTTCGTGACGGTGTAGAGAACAGGTTGCATGCTGAGGAGTGGGAAAGTGCTAGTACCCCCTCAGAAAGGCATCGGCTGGAGGTCGAAAATGGTGTTCGATGGTCGCAGTTGCATCGCCTTGGATACCTTGATCTAGTACGTGGAACGATCATCGATCCCATGCATAATTTATTCCTGGGAACGCCTAAAAGATTGATGGATCGTTGGATCAAAGACGAAGACATTCAAGATGGCGATTTTGCGGCAATGCAGAAGACTGCAGAAACGATGATTGTGCCTGGTGGATACACCTCTTTGAACTCGAAAATAGGAAAGCAGTTTTCGTATATGAAGGCAGACGAGTGGAAGTCATGGGTGCTCGTATACTCGCCAGTTCTGTTGAAAGATGTTCTTGCAAAAGACAGATTCGAAAACTGGATTAACTTTGTTGATGCATGCCGCCTGTTGATCAAGCCAACGATCACGTTCGATGAAGTCAACACTGCCCATCAGTTTCTTCAAACTTTTTGCACCAGATGTGACGAGCTGTACAACGCCGAAATCCTCACCTGTAATATGCACCTACACCTCCATCTTCGAGATACAATTCGTGATTTTGGACCAGTGTACGGTTATTGGCTATTCGGGTTCGAGCGGTTTAACGGGTTGTTAAAAAATTTGAAGACAAACAGGAAGATCGGGTTTGAAGAAACATTTATGAAGAAATTTATTGAAGATGTGCACAAAGACGATCTTGTCAACAGTTTCCTTCAGAGTACCTGCCAGACATCTGCATTTCCTCTCCTTACCAAACTCACTTCTTCCTTTACACCCGCCACCATTCCATCTATCCGTCAACGTACCTTCCGCATACAGTCATTTGTCGAGGCTTCTGAAGATCCAAATGTACTTGTAAAAGGCAACGAACCTCTCCCTCCTTCCGCATTCCCTCTATCATTAAAATCCGCTACCACAATGAGTGACATTCACTATGTTCATCTCTTACAATACTACAAAGTTGCGTACAACAATGAACAATTAGTTCACTTTCAACAAGCGTCAGAATCATCATACTTTGTCGACAATACAATCACCCTGTTGAAATACATCAACATCCTTGGGCAGGTCTACAAGGGTAAAGGTGAATCTGGAAGTCGTGGCTCTCTTGTACAAGCAAAGTTCATTGGAAGTACTGGTGAGCATATCATCGCATACACGGGTCAAATACAGTACATTTTCACCCATTCTTTCACTCCTCCACCCACCTCTTCATCCCTTACTCCCTTGCTCCGCACCCATCGCCGCCCAACACAACTTCTTCACAATTCTCAACATACTTTTGCATTTATCAAATGGTACACACCCGAAAATGATAAATCGCGAGAGTACGAACACGTTGAAACCTGCTTTCCAACATTTTCTCCTGACGATTTCCAATGTGTATTGCCAGTGCATAGAATTATGTTAGAAGTAGCAACTGCTGAGCACACAACACGCAGAAAAGTAAAAAAGATGCTGGTCATTCCTTTGCCAAAAAAACAATACATTTAAAAAATAATAAAATTATAACTCCCTTTTTTAAAGGCACACAGAAAAGAATAATCATAGTGTTTGTATTTGTTGGTACGTTTATCATTGTCAGATGGAGGATGTGGAGGATGTAGAGGATAAGAAAACAAAATTTATTGAAACTCATCTCTAAAAGCCCAGTGAGGGAGAAGGGACGTCAATCTAGGCGGGACTGCTAAAACAGCATCTCTACCGAAGGACCTCTTCAACATCTGACGCGAATTGAAGTCCATGCGATTACGCATAAAATCATCAACAACTGCAAGAAAGTGATTGTACTAAATACAAATAAGTGATTAATCAAAGTTCTGTTTCATTTAAATACATAAAAAAACAAAAAAAAGCTATATACAATAATGTAAACAAAAGAAATTACCTCATCGCTTCTCCAACTTGGACGCACTGTACGAATCGCACGGTTGCTCGAGACTCCAGGCATATCGTCTTCAGATTCGCCCTCAGACACTGCTTCTTTCTGTAAGAGTCCGTCGCAGCTCTTACCCACCTTCATATCAATTTCAGCCTTGAATGTATGGTAGGTCAGCTCGCGACGGTCAAAATGCTAGTTTATAAATGTATTAATATGAATACATTTAATTTGCAATCAAAATATACTTCTAACATACATCGGTCTCTCGACCTGCTTTTCTTGACCGAGAATTTGTCTTTTTGCGCGCTTCATAGGATTCCTTGACTCGGCGTCTCGTTCCACAAAAGTTTGTGTAGATACAATCGCTAATATCGGCCTGTCGAACACTAGTCCCAACAACCTTTGGAGCCAGGTATGCATGAAGGTCATGCATCAGCTGTCTGTTGGGTGGAAGTCTGTAATCAACATTAACATCCCAACTGCGCTTGCTGTCGTTAGCTGCAACTAGTTCCGGCTTATTTGATTTGAAGTTGTGTTTCTTCAACTCTCCTCGGATAAGAGCCTATACTTAGTGTGAGATATTATGTTGATGAGCTACTGTACATCTCAACACTTACTAAAACTCTAGTGCGATCCTGTTTACTAAGTTCACCAGCGTTTGCACCAGTAAGAACCACTGGACCAACAGAAGGAGCGACAGAAGGACCAACAGAAGGAGCGACAGAAGGACCAACAGAAGGAGCGACAGAAGGACCAACAGAAGGAGCGACAGAAGGACCAACAGAAGGAGCAACAGAAGGAGCAGCAGAAGAGATACCAAAAAAAGCCTCAGAAGGTGTTGTATACCAATCCAGAGTAGAACCAACGGAAGAAGCTGCGAAAGGGACAGAAGCAGAAGCAGGTATAGTGGTAGGAGCAATAACTGCAAGAAGTTCTCCAGAGGCATCGGCAACGCTATCAAGTATTTCCAATGAATCTTTGTTCCCCTTGATAACAATGCCAATGTTTGAATCCATGGTCTTGAGACTTTCCTCCATAGCGGTGAGCCTTCTTAAAAGCTCAGTATATTCCGGGGATGGAGCCGGGGCAATTGACTGACGATTGTTAACCATGGTCTGAAAGCTATCTAATAAAATGTTATACATGAGTTGATTGTTAATTATATTTGTTTTATATATCTATTCATTGTATATATAGAGTGTTATTAACATACAAAAGAAGTTAGGTGTTAAGCGAAAGAATAAAGTGTAGTTAATGGAAAGATGGTAAAAGTAAAAGCAAGAACCCATTTATTATATTACACTTGTTGCTGTAAATACTCAGGATTTCTTTAATACGCGTATCTCTATTAATACTTCCTGGAATTAACGGGGTGCAAATCGGCTTTGAACATGCTTTTTTCAACTCAATCCAATATATGATTTCTGTCTTTCGGCCTTTTGGCCCTTTGGTCTTTTGTTCTTTTTGTTTTTTTTTTTTCATTTACAAGTTTTCTCTCTTTTCTCTCTTTCCAACATTTATTATATTCACAGATTTTCTTGGTAAGATATCTTATTCTTTAATATTATATATATATATATAACTAAAATGATAATAATTGTTTTCTATTACTACAGACACTCGTGTTTTGTTACCTTCTGATGCATCCCCTTCACAATGTCCATCCGGATTAGCTAAGGTTAGTAAATATACTTTATGCTGTCATCCTATAAAATTATCCTGACCTTTTCCTTTCTTTTGTATAGGCCATATCGCCGAAATTACTCTCTACTATTAAACACGGTTATGAACACGGTAATATTTTATTTTATTTCAATCTATCTCTTTTTAATAAGCACATGGCTTAACATAATTTCTATTATAGATGAACCTCCCTCTCATGAGCACATCGCGAATCAAGAACTTTCATTTCATACGAGTGTCATTGACATGGTAATTTTTTTTGTACATATAACAATATTATTTATTTTGTATATTAATGTATATCATTTACTGAAGACAATATTAGCGTCTCCTATGTACTCTCTTGGTCTGCAAATAAATCCTTTTGCTTCGGGTAGGTAAATGAAATATTCTACCACACAGTTCACAAAAAATAATTTTTTTTCAGCATTTTTATAGCCAAATAAAGTATATTGAGTACTATGGTTCGCATTCATGACGCCTTTTCTTTTTGTCTCTGGTAAGCTATTATATTGCAAGCATAATTACATATATATATTCTTAATATCCACGATTTCTTGTTCAAACAGTTAACACTTTTCTAATTTCATAGAACAACCATTTACAAGCAAGCAACACACAACTGGGCTTTTCTCTGGGAGATATTGTTTGGAGAATACTTGTTTTATCAGAACATTGGCCATTTCAAATTGTATGAAGGATAGAGCACTAGCCAGAATGTTCCTGAATATTAAATATAACCACTGTACTATAAACCTAAGAATATTCTTTTCTTTCTAATAAAAACAAAATAAACCAATAATTATTATAAATAAATTAAAGATCGGAGAAGTGTATGGAAGCAAACAGTATAAGAAGAAGTCTCTAAGATTGGATAAAATAAATTCAAATACAACAAAACCCTGTAAAAACTGGCATATCCATAAATTAAACAATGTAAAAACTGGCATATCCGTATAATCGATCTTTCATTTATCGTTCTTTTAATTGGAAAGCGGTAGGATATATTACAACAAAACGTAATTCTGAGTTGCCGTTTTAGTGCATGTGGTAAAAACCCATATACAGAAAATGCAAACACATCCTACTATCCTGCTGTTCTGACCTTTTCCTATGTTCGAAAGTTGGTCTTACCACCTATGAGTAAGCCAGCTTCATACACTTGTAAAAACTATCTGATCACATCGTAAAACCTGGTCTTTTCACATAATTAATTACAGTTTACA